ACTTGGTAAGTTCACAAGACAATATAAGAAGAGAAGCAAGGGATCTGGAAAATGGGAAAGAGATTTTTCACTTTTTTGCAACATCAAATAATCTATTTCATTATTTTTAACTCCAATAAAAGACTGCATCTGATTACTAATGGTAAAATTCAACTTAGAAATTCCATTAGAGGTGTGCAGTAAACAAGACACAGGTTTGTTTTTTTTTTTTTTAATGTTTACAGAACACGAGCAGGGAGGGGCAGAGAGGGAGACACAGAATCTGAAGCAGGCTCCAGGCTCTAAGCTGTCAGCATGAAGCCCGACGTGGGGCTCAAATCCACGAACTGTGAGATCATGACCACAGCCTAAGTCAGATGCTTAACCGACTGAGCCACCCAGAAGCCCCACAAAACACAGCTTGAATACATTCTTCCTAAGGGAAAACACAGTCACCCACTTTACATGGTCCTAACACATAATTAATGGAAACTGTGGCTTTTACTTGTGCAAGTTTGGGGAGTAGAGAATTTGGCATGGATCTGATTAATGACTACAGGAAGTCTTTAAATAGTTAAAGGCTTTTAAATATTTAATTTTAATACTTAATTTAAACATTTAATTTTAAATATTTAAAGTTTGATCCACCTGCCTCTCCATCTGCCCCATTCTCTATTAAGTCCATCTCTAATTTTAAAATTAAGTCTGGAATCTCCCAGCACTACAAATAGATACATGAAAAATTCACAAAATTGTCTCCTGAGGTTGAATTTTAAGAGACTTTCATTAATAGTAACAAATGTATGTAAGACATTTAATTTAGAACATGAATGGTAGCAATTAGTTGATCAAAGATAAAGCACATCTTCTATGAAACCAATCCAGAACACCTTAAAGAATTTCATGCTAGAGGTCTTAATCTTTTCATTTGATGGGTCCTTCTGTGCATCAGACACTTTATAAGCCTGGCACACAATCCTACCTTGCATTCTTTATCTTCTAAGAAGAAATCAGATATTCCTCTATAGTATTATTATTCCAGTCACTTAAAAGGTATCTCCTTTACTGTTGTACTCACTAGGATATTTTCAGAAATGAAAATCACCTAATAGTCTCTATAGCATTATTTAACCTTCTAGGGAGAGTTTAATCCATCTACTCCAGTGCTCTGCCCAATGGTGAGATAATCAGGATAATAAACCTATGAATGCCTATTATTCTTTCATTCACTGAAAACTTATTAGCTGACTACCTAAAAATCACTTCCATTAGTCCTAGAGATAACATGTTCAAGATTGCTTCCTAGAACTCACCATCAGGTGGCAGGATGTCAACCGAGAAACAATTAGAGAACAGCTTGTTGCCAAAGTACACATGTAATGCTCTGGAGAAACCGCGAAAACAGCTGGACATAAACCTTAATAGAAGGGCTGGAGAGAAAGAACGACTATGAAATCACCAGCATACAGATAGAAGAATATGGAGAGAAGATAAGAGGACCAAGGAAATAACCTTAGAGTTTACCAGTATGAAAGGGAGAGCAAAGAAGGACACCACAAGGTAGTTCCTGAATTTTAACATAATCATAGAATGTTAGCAACATAGTAAAGGGGGAAATAAGAGCTGTGACCAACTAAAAGTGGTCATCAGAAAGGACTTTTCTTGCCTTATTAATTTAGAAATAAAATAAGTAAATAATTCTGGTAAATCCTTGGATTAGCTCTTTTAAAATTTTTTTTTTCAACGTTTATTTATTTTTTGGGACAGAGAGAGACAGAGCATGAACGGGGGAAGGGCAGAGAGAGAGGGAGACACAGAATCGGAAACAAGGATTAGCTCTTTTAATATCGAAAGTACTCATTTTGGGGCTCCTGGGTGTCTCAGTCGGTTGAGCGTCCAACTTTGGCTTAGGTCATGATCTCACAGTTCGTGAGTTCAAGCCCCACGAGGCTCATTGCTGTTAGTGCAGAGCCCACTTCAGATACTCTGTCCTCTCTGTGCCTCTCCCCTACTCACTCATGTTTTCTCTCTCAAAAATAAACAAAATAAACCCAGTATTAATTTTTTAAGGTTTATTTATTTTTTAAGTTTATTTATTTATTTTGAGAGCGACTGAGCACATGGGAAAGAGGCAGAGAAAGAGAGGGAAAGACAGGGAGAGAGAGAGAGAGAGAGAGAGAGAGAGAATTTCAAGTAGGCTCCCAATGTGGGGCTTGAACTCATGAAGTATGAGATCATGACCTGAGCCAAAGTTGGACATCGAACCAACTGAGCCACCCAGGCACCCCAAAACAATAGAATTTTGATAACAAATAGGGGAAAATAACAACCAAATTAGGGGAATTCTAAATTAGGAATTTTAAGGGAAAAAAATAGTAAGGTATAAAAAGTACAATAGAAAAATCATATAAAAATACCAACATAATGCAAGTTTTGTTTAAAAAGTTAAAGGTGACTGGGGGCGCCTGGGTGGCTCAGTCGGTTAAGCGTCTGACTTCAGCTGAGGTCATGATCTCACAGTCTGTGAGTTCGAGCCCCACGTCGGGCTCTGTGCTGACAGCTTAGAGCCTGGAGCCTGCTTCACATTCTGTGTCTCCCTCTCTCTGCCCCTCCCCTGCTCCTGCTCTGTCTCTGTGTCAAAAATAAACAAAAACATTAAAAAAGTTAAAAATGACATATTCACATACATATTCTACACACAATTGTGATAGAACTATTTCAGATTTTGAGAAATCACATGAATGGAATTGTAGCCACAAAAAAAGCGTTTAAACAAAAATCTTTTATCTTTAAAAATTTTTTTAGTAATTTCTATACCTAACGTGGGACTTGGAACTCACAACCCTGAGATCAAGAGTCACACACTCTTCCGACTGAGCCATGCAAGCGCCCCCAAAATCTTATTATATGTAACCACTACTGTGGACTCATGGGATATAATCAGATGGCAACATCACCTCCCACTAGCAAATATTCAGGTATTTTTCTCCCAATCCAGGTTGAAAAATCTTTCAAGTAATGAAACGTCCATAGAGTTGTTTTAACTCACAAAGCACTGAAACAGAATGTCTAGCCAGCCCTGTAAAATTAGAAAATCACTGCAAGTCAAAGTTAATCAGCCAGGCCAGGCTACAGGCTAACCACCTGCAGTAGGGGTAGAAGGCTGGCATGGTCCTTTTCTTCTTTCCTAATTCCATCCCTCCTCTCTCAGCTGGTTAACTACGGTCTGATCTTGCTGGGTCAACTGTAAGGGGTGGTTGAGTTATCTGGCTGACACTTCGTAAGATGGTTTTGAGCATGCTGGATTGGGCATGCATGCATTCATTCATTCGTTTATTTTACGGTTTTGGGGTGTGTGTGTTTTGTTTGTTTGTTTTTAGTAACTCCATATCCAACGTGGGGCCCGAACTCATGACCCCTGAAATCAAATGTCACATGCTCTAGGAGCACCGGGGTGGCTCAGTTGACTGAGTGTCTGACTCTTGATTTTGCTTAGGTCATGATTTCATGGTCCATGGGATTGAACCCTGAGTAGGGCTCTCTGCTGACAGCACGGATAATCCCTGCTTGGGATTCTCTCTCCAGCTCTCTCTGCCCCTCCCTCACTCACACATATGCACACACTCTCTGTCTCTCAAAATAAATGAACATTAAAAAAAAAGAGAGAGGCGGTCACATATTCTACCTGATAAGCCAGCCAGGCACCCAAGCAATTATGTAAAAAAAATTTTTTTTAATGCTTACTTATTTTTGACAGAGAGAGAGAGACAGACAGACAGACAGACAGAGCATGAGCAGGGGAAGGGCAGAGAGAGAGAGAGAGGGAGACACAGAATCCAAACCAGGCTCCAGGCTCTGAGCTGTCAGCACAGAGCCAGACACGGAGCTCAAATTCGCAAGCTGTGAGATCATGACCTGAGCCAAAGTTGGACACTTAACCAACTGAGTCACCCAGGCATCCCCCGCCCTGCAATTATTTTAAAGTTGACTTTCTCTCAGGGGCATTCCTGTACTCATAGCTGTCTTCACCTGCAACTCCCCTGACCTGAGTTAATGCAATCCATTCTTGTGGGTTTTCTTTCTTCTTAGCTTTCAAGGAATCCAGAGATCCACTTTGGACTATCCTCTTCTGAGGCCTCTTTGTACCTCTAAGCAACCCTTTTGTATGGTAAATGGATCCCCCACAATGGTTCACTCTCCTTCATTCTTGACAAATATCTGGTCCTTCATAAGCACTCAAGCAGTTTTTGTCAAACCAAATGCTGAGAGTGCGGGATGGTCTCAACACATTAGGATTCTTCTCCCTTCATTAGGCAAAGCACCTTATCCACCCTCTCAGGCTTTCCTGAGTATAAGTCAAAAACTTATATTTCCAGAACTGCAAGAGACTCACATCAAGCCCTTCAAATTAGTTTTTTTTTTAATTTTTCAGTTTATTTACTTATTTTGAGAAAGAGAGTGAGAGCAAGCAAGAGAGGGACAGAGAAAGAGAGGGAGAGAGGGAGAGAGACAGAGAGAGAGAGAGAGAGAGAATCCCAAGCGGGCTCTGCACTGCCAGAGTAGACCCCGATGTGGAGCTCGAACTCACGAACTGTGAGATCATGACCTGAGTCAAAGTCAAGAGTCAGATGTTTAACCACCTGAGCCACCTAGGCGCCTCCCCCAATTAGGTTTTATGAGAAATGAGTACCTTCTCACCCTTCTCCTTTGGCAGCTTTAAATTAGCTGTTTTCTTTCCTATTAAATGCATTCTCAAATTCAGAACAGATTACCTACTCATTGTATTACTGTATGATGCAACTGACAGCAACATAGCATTTATATAGAACTTTATAAAGGAAGTCTGTGGTCTAAGTAGGGTGGGGGATCCACATTCTTGCTTATAAGAACTGGGATTTACTTGTGAAAAACTAGGGGCAGGAAAATTTGCATAGAAATAAAATCCTCAGTTCAAATGTATCAACTCTCCAAATTCTTATGACCACTACTAGGTGTTATTTTTTCAGTCCAAAGATCAAGTCTACATTCCACCAACATATTTTATTAAAATACTGCATACTTACAGTAAGAAATATAACCAGCTGGATTGAAGTAACTCAGTATTTACTTTAAAATGAATATACACAAATACAAATATCTAAAATAAAACATGTATCCATTACCAAAAGTACTCAACTTAATAGATAGAGGTTACATGTCAAATGGTGGCATTCTGGTAGCTTTGAATGGATAGCTCTGCAAAGTTTACCAGTCCTCCCTAAGTCCATTCTTATTAAACAGCTTTGGTTGGAGTATGATTCAAAATAAGTGAGGGAGATTCAGTATGATGAGGTGAGGAGGTTGACAAATCATTCCCACTTAAAAAAAAAAAACAAAACAAACTATGAAGTGGAATAAAAACCATTACAGCACTCTGGAACTAACTAAAGACCTGTAATAAACTAAGAAGTGTTTATTCATGAAAATCACTGAAATTTGGTAAGAGCTGTGTGAGTCTGTGGTGCTGTGCTCTCACTTCCCATGTCAGAACTTGCTGCCACTGTCAGAAGGGACTTGCTTGACCTGATGCAGAGTGAGTCAAAGTGGTGATCTCCATGCTAAGCACACAGAGTTATCTAGACTGGGGGTGCAGTCCTGTCTGGGGCAAACAAGGTAAGAGTAGCAACGTATTTCACTGGAAGTTATGGGAGGTAAGACAGCCATCTGGAGTTGATAAGCACTCCATATACTCCAGATTTACCAGAGGCATGCAGAGTAGAAACTGAAGCTGGTTCAAACCACCCACGTATCCATGGTTGCCAAGGCGTGCACATACACAAAAAAGGAGAAGCAAAAAGCCTGTTAGAAAGCAAAAACCAGAGCAGTCTTGAAAATGACCCAAATGTTGAATGGACTTGCAAGCCCACACAGATCCATCAGCAGAGTGGAAAGCCTGAATGATGCGGTTTGAACACAACTTCTGTCCAATCTTTGCCTAAATGCTAAGCTAGGCAGGCACAGCAACAACCCTCAGGAAGCAAGATTTTAAAAATTTTAAAAATGAACAAGAGACATCAATGGCTGCACACTGTAGTAGAGAGGGACTTCATAAATTAACTGGAGGCAAGTTACTGTTACTAAATCAGAATCCATAATTGCTACATTATCTGTAATTCAACAAGATTACAAAGCAAAGAAACAAGAAAGTATGACCCTCACTAAGGAAGAAAAGCATTACATAAAACTGCCTGAGTATTTCCAGATGGTAGATTTAGCAAAGATTTAAAAGCAGCTCTATGAACATGTTCAAAGAACTAACGGAAGCCATGTTTAAAGAATTAATGAAAACCATGATGAAAATGATGCAATGTAAGAAGAATCTCAATAAAAAGATACAAAAGTAAATGAACGAATTGAATAGAAACTTAGAGCAGAAAAATATAGTACCTGAAATGGAAAGTTCAATTAATTTGAGATGGCAGAAGAATGAGTGAATTTAAGAATCAACAGAAATCATTCAATCTCAAAAGGACAGGGAGAAAAAACAATGAAGAAAACAAAGCCTGAGACCAGATTAACATTAAATGTACCAACAACACATGTAAGGAGAATCCCAGAAGGAATAGCTAGAAAAGGACAGATACATGTATTTGAAGAAATAATTGCCAAAAATTGCTTAAATTTGATGAAAAATATTAATCTACACGTGAAGCTCAATAAATCCCAACTAGGAAAAACATAAGGAGATCCATACCTAAACACATCATCATAGTCAAACTGGTAAAAGACAAAGAGAAAACAAAACAAAACAAAACAAAACCTTGAGATCAGCAAGAGAAAAAAACCTATCACAAAAGGAGACCAGAATTACAATTAACATATGACTTCTTAACAAAAAATAATAGAGGCCAGCAGTCTGTGGGATAACATATTCAAAACGAGTGAATAAAAAAAAATGTCAACCACGTATTCTATAGCCAGCAAAACTATCCCCCCTCAAAAAACAAAGGCAAAATAAAAAACATTCTCAGCAAAGACTGAAGAAATAAAATTATACAAAGCACTAGTTACATCACTGTATTGTTGAGTTGCTGTAACATGCACAGATATAACATATGAAAATAAGGGCACAGAGAAGAAAATGAGATCTACTGAAATAAAGTTCCTCCATTTTACCAGAATTAATGCAGACTGATAAGATGCACACAGTCATCCCTAGGTCAACCACTGACATGTAACTCAAAAAAGGAAGAACACAAGGATCTCTTCAGATATGAGAAACAGGAAACAAAAAGCACAATGGGAGATGTAAAGACAATTTATATCAATACTAAATTTGAATGAACTAAACACTCCATTCAAATAACAGAGATTGTCAGACTGGATCAAGAAAGCAAGATAAGGGAACTGTATTTAGAATATGTATCTCTTACAACATGTAATAAGACAAACAACCCAAAATTAATGGGGTGGTCTGAACGGACATTTCTCCAAAGAAAATATACAAATGGCCAATAAAAAAGGAGAGGATGCTCAATATCACTAGTGTAGATAAATGTAAATTAGATCCATGAGCTAATATTTCATTCACACTAGAATGGTTTTATCAAAAAGAGAGACTATAAGTACTGTAGAAGATGTACAGAATGATGTAGATGCAGTTCATCAGGTTCTCAAAAAGGTAAACAGAAATTTACTACATGACCTAGCAATTTCAATATTAGAAGTCTATCCAAGAAAAATAAAAACATGCATCCACACAAAGACACATGTACATACATACATATATACCAGAGAGGGGGAGAAGGAAGAAGAAAGGAGAAAAGAAAGGGAGAAAGGGAGGTGGGCAATTAACAAATGGGATGGCGTATCTGGACCAAGGGTATATAGGAGTTCCTTTTATTATTTTGGTAACATTTCTATAAATTTGAAATTAGATCAAAATTTAAAATTACATTAAAAAAAAGAGAAAAGGATATTGTATAGCAAACTCCCTCTATCAACTTCTTCAATGAAGACCATATACAGCTTAAAAGTTATTAGAAAACTGTAGGTAATTTTAATAAAATCACTTCAAGAATATAATTTGGTTGTAAAACCAATACAATGAGCTCTAAAATAATTTTTCTATTGAGTTAAATAAAGTCATCTGTAAATCCTGTAACAACATGTTCATATTCACAAAATCTGAACGAAAAGCAAACACAGCTTTCCATTTCTAACACAGGGTAATCCAAAGTTCACTTAGAAGGTACTGAGATTTGGGGTTAATTTTTCTTTCAATACCAAGCACAATTATATAGTTATTCAGAATTTGAAGTGAGTTACTTTTTATTTAACAAGATACTTGCTGCTTTGAAATAAATTTAATTAATAAGAGTGATAATGATGTTAAAAAAAAAGACAATGAAATGCAAGCTGCATTTCTAAAAGATTATAATCATTTAAATTCTGATGATAGCTATATGTTTACAATTCTCTACTCTTTGACAGACAAAAACAAAAACAGAACTATTTTCTATATGGACAATCTGGAGCATAATTAAGTGCTTCCTAATGAAGTTTCCACTGACCTATATAGAAATATGGTTCACCAACAGCCAAATGGTATCATTTCTTTATCAAAGGTAAGTGGAACCAGCTAAACACAAAGACAATCCTTCTACAATTTTACTCTGCCAAGTACAAAATACTTCCCAAGAGCCCAAGGCACAATTTTAATTCACATCTGGTAAAGGAACCACCCATAAAATCATTACTTATTTTCAACTTAATAACTGATTGACATTGCTCAAACCAGCTGTTTTCAATCCTAATAGTTCTTTATTTTCTTTAACATATTTGCTATGGGCTGATAATCTGCAATAGGTGTCATCATGAGAATAACCAAAATTAGATTAAATGTGACAAAAGACTAACATAGAGTTTCAGACCCTTAAGTGATGATACTAAGTCAAGAATGGGAGAAAAGCATTGCAAAAGGAGACTACTGAAATGCTACTTATATATTCTTGCAGTAAAACCAGCAATGCATCCATTTTAAGAGTTATCATCTCACTTCCAATTTCTTTCCCTCAAGAACAATTTGAATTTCTTTGGCATCCAGGGTCTCATAGGTTAGTAAAGCTTCTGCTAGATTCTTATGCTCTTTTGCATGAGTCTTCAAGATGTGTTTTGCTCGTTCGTATGAGTCCTGAAATGGAAAAAGCAGGTATCTAAGAGGCAGAAAGGATAAGCAAAAACCATAAATAAGAAACAAACATTCTATTCTTAACCTGAAAATCTATCACATGGATAACTGAGGACTACTTAGACAAGGAGCTACTTAAAGATATAAAAGTACACATTGTACTTATTTTTAAAATAAGGTCTGTGAACAAAGAAATCTACTTCTCTATTCAATATACATGTGTAAAAAGGAAAGGGAGGTTTTGTTCCTTTTACCTTGTGAGATTTCACCCATTTATACAATTGAAATGGCCAGAAAAGATCTACTTTTCTGTTCTTTTCCTTGGTAACAACTCACTGTCAGTCTGTGACAACATCAATTGACCAACACCAAAAAGCATAGGTAGGTCAAAAAAACATAACACAATTATTACAAATAGACATCATCAGACATTCTGAATAAAACTTTTATGTTCAAGTGAAATAATCAAAATCAAGGAAAGTATAAAGTAGTACAAATTATCATGGAATATTATAACTAATAATCAGGGATGAATTAGTAGTAACTTTAAAAATTCTGCTGGAATGAAACTCTTACATGGTAACATGTAAGACAACTATTAGGTTTTTATACTTTTAAGTTTCATATTATTTGAACCTAAAATGTTACAAACTAGTAATCACTTCCATTAATAATGACAAAAGTGTGCCATTTAGTGGAAAGAGTACCTTCTTGCCTTCCTAATCTTACCATTTCAGAAAAAGAATCCAACTTTTATTATGGTTTTTAAGTTTTCACAAATGTATTAGAGCAAAAAAGGAGTATTTCCAATGCTCTAGGAATACTAGAGTATAATTTACTCAAAATAACGTAAATAATAAAAGAAGGAGAATGAAGTTTCTGCGAAGGCAGAGGAACTTCCTGTTCTGAAACACCTTCTAAACTTTTCCATTATATAAACTTTTCGTATACTAAACTTCCTTAAAGCATTTCTTCTACCTTCTTGAGTTAATCAAAACCCGGTCATCCTAGAAGTGCCTGGGTGGCTCAGGTGGTTAAGCGCCTGACTTTGGCTCAGGTCATAATCTTGCAGTTTGTGAGCCTGAGCCCCACATCAGGCTCTGTGCTGATAGCTCAGAGCCTGGATCCTCCTTCAGATTCTGTGTCTCCGTCTCCTTCTGCCCCTCCCCTGCTCATGCTCTGTCTCTCTCTGTCTCAAAAATAAATATTAAAAAAAAATTGTTTTTAAATAAATGCTGGCCCTCCTGGGGAGACTTCTAAGCCCTCAAGTGACAGTTATTAGTTCACTCTTATCCCAGACATTTCAGGGTAAAGAGCTGAGTTCTTTGTTCCCCTCACCATTGCCAGACCATTACAAAAAGCAAGATTCCTTTGAAGTTTACACCATCTGACTATATAGCCCTATCCAATATCCTTCGTTTTGCTATCTCCTACCCTAATTATAGTTCTCATTCACTAGACACCTGGCATTAACTCAGTCTTGTCCATTCCAAAATGTGCCATCATGCATATCCAAATGGCATGCACATATCCAACCTCTACACTAAGCACCAGACCCATGTATCCTGCCCAACTTGAAATCTTCACATGAACAATGAAATGACATTGAATGTGAAAAGACATTTCATGTTCAACATGTATGAAACTGAGCTTGTGATCTACAAACTTCCCCCACCTGAGGCCATCATCTGCGTTTTCTCAGTAAACAGCACATACAACTATACAGCTACTGGGCATTTAAATAAAAAAGACTTCTGTTTTCAAAGACCTTTGTTCTTCATTCTCAGCACAGGCACACAGCTAACACAAAACAAATGATATTTGTTGAATAAAATATACATCAGAATGATACACCAATAAAGACTCAAATAACATCCCCCATTCTCACAGCACTATGGTTTCACAGCTAATGTAGAATATTTATAATTATTGATATAAACCATTCTTGGCCTATGGCCAGAATAAAACAAAGTTCCACTCTATGACCAGAGGATCCCAAATGACATATTAAAATCATAGTTGCAATGGTGCACTTATCTTTATTTTATATATATATACATGTACATATATATATATATACACACACACATATATATATATATACACACATGTATATATATATGTGTGTGTGTGTGTGTGTGTATATATATATATATATATATATATATATATATAGTGACATTTCTAAAGAATAGAGGACAACCAATATCCCTTGGAAGTACCTTACTATTTATGACTAGATAGATACATAAGCATAGAAAAATATGACTATTACCCTTAGAAGGATTCTAATTTCTTGTTCAATAGCAGATTGAGTTTCTGGACTCAGTTTCCCTGTATCACTGTAGGTCATAACTCCAAGCTAAAACAAATAAGAAGAAAGAAATTGAACAGAAAAACCCTAAACCACTAATAAATGTAACAGAGGAAGTATTATCCTATACTTAAGGAAACATTATAGGGAAAAGGAAGAAATTCAATATAAACACACCTTGAAGGCAAAGAAATTTCTTTATTCTTCTGAAAGTTTAAGACTAAATTAAAAGTATGAGCAAGAGAAAAAAATTAAAATTATACATGATTCTGAGTACCCTGTTAGAAAACCTTCACAGCTATTCCTAATCTAGAAATCCACAATGCAGTGTATTAGCAGCGCTTCAGGAAGCCACAGTGATAATGTAGTAAAGTGAAATATGCGAAAACGGTAAAGTAAGAAAGCTGAGCAAGTAGGGGTTTTATGTCATACGAAGAGAAATAGAAGATCTCAACATCTGCTTAGCTCATGAAATACTACCTACTACTATCCAGGTAGCTAGAATGGAAGGAGAATACTAAACTTTATCACTCAGACAACGACATTCAGTTTAGAATAAGCTGAGATGGGAAAAGTATCAATTTATAATGAGAACCCTCTCTCACAAAGAGGCACTTGGCAAATTATCATTTGATCCATGAGGAAGGAAGAAAATGAAGTATTATAGGGGTGCCTGGGTGACTCAGTCGGTTAAGCATCAGACTTCGGCTCAGGTCATGATCTCACAGTACATGAGTTCAAGCCCTGTGTCAGGATCTGTGCTGACAGCTCAGACCCTAGAGGCTGCTTCAGATTCTGTGTCTACCCTCTCTCTCTCTGCCCCTCCCCCGCTCACACTCTGTCTCTCTCTCAAAAATAAATAAACATTAAAAAAAAAATTTAAAGTGGCTATTACCTTTTCACTCATTCCAAATTTGGTAACCATCCGTTTTGCTATTTTAGTTGCATTGTCAAAATCACTGGAAGCACCTAAATTTAAAAATATACAAAGAACTCAATTTTTTAAAAAAATCTTTAAATCAGCAAGCACAATTTGAACTAAAGCCATTTGTTACAGCCAACCTGTTGTAATATGGTCAGTTCCAAATATCAGCTCCTCAGCCACTCTTCCACCCATACTAACATCCATCTGTGCAAGCAGCTGGGCTCTAGTTTCATTCCATCTGTCATTCTCAGGCAACAGGGACACCTAGACAATCGGAAACAAAGAAAAACTTTAGATACCGCTTGAAATATTTATATTAATAATCAGAATTACCATTTGGCTCTCACTATTGTACTTAAAATCATGATGCTGACAGCTCTGAGACAATCAGTAGAGACGATCATTGGGTGACTGATGACAAAACTGGCAGTACAAAAAATCAGAAAAATTATTAGAGAGCAAAAATTCATTTTATATATGTAATAGATACATAACGCTGCAATAGGACAAACTTATCCCCGGGTACACATAAGTGCTTAAAATGTCTATCATTAGAAAGAGATGAGAATGAAACGTGTACTCAATGAGAAAAACCTTAGAAAAACTCTTGAACCACCAACACAGTTTCTCTGTGGAGGGAAGAGCACAAAGACATATTTAAGAATGATCCTTTGCTGTCACTCCTTTGTTGTCAGAATGTTTCAGAAGAAAGTGATCCACAAACTTGGGAATCAGTTGAATTTTCTTTTAAATTATTTTCATCAACAATTCCCTTCATCAGCTTTTGGAGAGTGCTATGTGAAAGGAAAACAAACAAATAAACAAACGCCACAAGATACTTACGTGTCCAAGCGTTGGGCCTCGTGGCATGATTGTAGCTTTGTTTATTGGCATTGCATCTTTAGTGTAATATGCAATAATAGCATGACCAGATTCATGATATGCTGTGATGGTTTTGTTTTTGTTATCAATTTCCACACTCCTACGTTCAGGCCCTAAGGATAAAATTTTAATTAATTCACTCCATTAGGAAGGTATAATTAGACAACTAAAACCCATTTGCCTTTAAGTAATTCTTAGTGTAACATGACTTAATATAATTAATGAATATTTTAAACAACTTTCCAAGTGACAAACAAAATTGTAAGAGCTATCATCTTAATCCTTACTATCAACAAGGGAAGTTTAATTCTAGAAAATAAATGTAAATTTTAACAGGAATGTCCTAACTAACCTGTTTTGAACTCAATCAAGATTTAAAATCAAATACTGAAAATTAGTAAAATTAGTATATATTTAAAGGTTATTTACTTTGAGAGAGAGAAAGATCAGGTCTGTGTGAGCAGGGTAGGGGCAGAGAGGGAGAGAGAATCCCAAGCAGGCTCTGTGCTCTCAGGGCAGAGCCCAACGCGGGGTTTCATTTCACAAACCGTGAGATCATGACCGGAGCCAAAATCAGGAGTTAGACACCTGACTGAGCCAGGAAGGCGCCCCAGTTAAGTTAATCTTTTAGCAGCACTATCAGATAAGAGAAAACACATGACACCCATGCCCCCAAACAGTATAATCATATAAACTGTATTTGTTCTTAAGAGGCCCAATTGTATGGCTATTTTTGAGTATATATTTTCTTGTTCCTGTACCTTTCTTTTTTATAACCTTTTTCTCAAAAAGAAGAATTTATTCTCTAACATAATGAACAGGGTGAGACAGGAAAAGAAAAAGAGAGAGGGAGAGAGAGAGACAGAGAAAACCTACCCATTAGAATTTTATCTTTGGAAAACTCTAGCTCCTTCATGGTAACCATTTCTTTTCCATCAACAGCTGCCTTTAATGCAGCCTGGTTCACAAGATTCTCCAACTCTGCTCCAGAAAAGCCAACAGTACCTCGAGCTATGATTTCTGGATCAACAGCTATGAAAATAGAAGACAACATTGAAATTCCAAAAGAGCTCTTCACAAATAACTCATATTCCAAAAGAAAAAAGCTATCCTCAACTAGAACTTAAAATATTTATCTCACTGCAACTACCAAATAAGTTCACTTTATTGAATTCTAGAGGAAAAAATCCCAAACTGCCACCAAATATACTATTCATATTGCCAACGGGACAAATCACAAAAGTTCTTAAATTTAAATAACTTTGTGAAAAACAAAGAAATGCAGAGTTGCCAGACATGATTTATAAGCCTTCAAATTATGACCTAAATTGTTACTAGCCTAACCACAAACTGATAAAGTATACTCAAAGATAAAATATTGTTTTTATTTTCTGAATTTCATCTTTAAATACTTTATACGTATATAGTATTATATGTACATTTATAAAAGCTCTCCTTATTATAGGAAACATATTTGGTTTAACAAATTTATTCACCTATCTTTGAAAATAGTACAGCGTGACAGCTGTGTTTATTATTTGAGTCCATAATATTTTCATGTGTTTTGTTTTACAGTTTGCCTCTTTTAGCCCCAAAGTGATTATATATGCTTCCTAGTATTTCATATTTTACATCATCCCCAAAGCATTTATACATACATTTATCTTCAAGTATTACGTATCTGAACACTTGGAAGAAAACTTCCTTTAGAATCAGGATTCAAATGACAGAACCTCTTGTATATACAATTAATAAATAAACTTTAAAAAGGACATATAAATGGAGAGGAAAAAGGACATGTAAAACAAACTGGCCTTTGGAGAGATCTATCAAGTAAGGACCACAAACAGGGTGGAATGAAATATTACCATTTTTTATAGAGATAATAATAAAGTTGGTGTTAATGGAATTAGACTTACACTGATCAAACTTTATTTTATTGAGATACCATTTCAAAATTTCTGTTCGACCTTTTACATCTGGTCTTGGAACTGTAACTTGCATGTCAAAACGACCAGGACGTATTAAGGCACTAAAAGGAGAATATAAAAAGAAAATATAAATTAATAATCTGACTATGATGAAGGTCCAATTAAATATGACTGACACTCTAAAGACAAGATGGAAAGATAATGGCAATTGAAGTTAGACTGGAGATTTGAGGTTTTTCATTTTAATTCCACCATACTTAATATGCAGTGTTATATTAGTTTCAGGTGTACAGTATTAGTGATTGGACAATTCCATATTACCCAGTGTTCATCACGACAAATGTACTCCTTAATCCCCATCACCTATTTCGCCTTAGATTGGCGTTTTGAGCATAAATATGCATACAACTCCTTTTAAAACACGGATCAAGGGACACTCGGGTGGCTCAGTCAGTTAAGCGTCTGACTTTGGCTCAGGTCATGATCTTGCAGTTCACGAGTCTGAGAACTCCGTTGGGAGCTATGCTGACAGCTTAGAACCTGGAGCCTGCTTCAGATTCTGTGTCTCCCTCTCTCTCTGCCCCTCCTCCACTCACACTCTGTGTATCTCTCTCCCTCTCTCTCTCACTAAAATAAACATTAAAAAAAATTTTAATAAATAAATAAAATTATAGGGGCGCTTGTGCAGCTCAGTCAGTTGAGTGTTCAACTTTGGTTCAAGTCATGATCTCCCAGTTTGTGGGTTCGGGTCCCACGTCAGGCTCTGTGCTGACAGCTCAGAGCCTGGAGCCTGCTTCAGATTCTGTGTCTCCCTCTCTCTCTGCCCCTCCCCCAGTCTCTCACTCTCTCTCTCTCTCCCCTTCTCTCTCTCAAATAAACATTAAAATTTTTTTAACTAAATAAATAAACAAATAAGTAAGTAAGTAAGTAAGTAAATAAATAAATAAATAAAACATTAGGGGTGCCTGGGCGGCTCAGTCAATTGAGCATCCAACTTCAGCTCAAGTTGTGATCTCCCAGTTCTCGGGTTCAGGCCCCAGGTCAGGCTCTGTGCCGACAGCTCAGAGCCTGGAGCCTATTTCAGATCCTGTGTGTGTGTGTATCTCTCTGTCCTTTCCCCACTTGTACTCTATCTCTCTCTCTCAAAACTAAATAAACAAAAAAAATTTAAAAATAAATAAAACATAAAAAAAATTTTAAATCATGCCTCCCAAACAGTTTCAATAACCAGAAGGCAGAACAAAGTTTGATACAGATAGACAGCACACAACCCTCAAACAAAAACATGCAAGTCCGTCAACCAAGGAATCAGGTCATGATCTCCTGGTTTATGGGTTTGAGGCCCATGTTGGGCTCTGCACTGACAGTTTCGAGCCTGGAGCCTGCTTTAGATTGTGTGTCTCCCTTTCTCTCTCTGCCCCTCTGCCAATTCTCCCCCCACCTCTGCTTCTCAAAAATCAGTAAACTTAAGAAAAATATGAGTAACTCAGGGGCACCTGGGTGTCTCAGTCCACTGAGCGTCCTACTATTGATTTCAGCTCAAGTAATGACCTCACTGTTCTTGAGTTCAAGCCCCACGTTGGGCTCTGAGCTGACAGTGCTGAGCCTGCTTGGAATTCTCTCCCTCCCTCTCTCTCTCTGCCCCTCCCCTGCACTCACTCGCTCTCTCTCTCTCAAAAATCAACATATTAAGAAAGAAAACAGGAGTAACTTCTATGAGAAGTACAACAAAAATTTAAAACTGTAAGTTTCATTTTACAATTTTCTGCACCAGCCTAAAATTTTGTGATACAAAGTCTGTCAAAAGATTCTTTAAACAGTTCTACTGAGATATAATTAGCATATCACAGAATTTAAAGTAGATAATCCCATGGTTTTTCATATATTCAGAGTTGTGCAGCTATCAACACTCTCATTTGAGTTATTAAATAATAAATTAGTAAATAATAAATATTTTTATTCCCCTACCCCAAAAGAAACCCCACAGTCACCAACAGTCACTCCCCATTCTTCCCACACTCTGGCAACCACTAATTTCCTTTCTGTTGCTATGGATTTGTCTATTTGAGACATTTCATACAAATGAAACCATATGTGATGTTTTGTGATGGGCTTCCCTCTCTTTTAAAGTTCATCCATGTTCTAGTATGACCATTAGTTACCAAAGAAGTCTTTTCACACTTACTTATCTAATGCCTCTGGGAAATTTGTGGCTCCTATGATGATAACTCCTTCATTGGGCTTAAAACTATCAAAAAAGAAACAAAAGTACCTTTTCACTGAAAATTAAAAGAGTACACATATAGAAATGCTCTACACAAAACTGTTTATCATTAATTTTAGTAACAGCAAAGAAAAGGGAGTGATCTTGTTTATACCCAGATGATAAGACATCTCTATTAAATAAATTTTGAAAAAAACAAATGTTATTGGGCCAGAATACTTCAATAAAACTGCTAGTAATAAATCACAAAGTCACCTACAATTACAGATCTTCACAAAGGCTTATTTGTGTACCTGACTTATTTGTGAAAAATTATTCTCAAGTTTACCAATTCAAATGATTTGCTCCTAGACTTCCTATTGGGTTCCAAACTGCCTTATATGGTTTTAAGACATTTTTACTTCTTTCAAAGCAACCCCACCTCTTGCTTTTTAGATTATAAAAATTGATACAAACTTTTAATCTGCAACAACATTAGAAGCTAGTCACAAATTGTGTAGAAACCAGTCTACAATCCCTTTACATCTCCAAGAGACTACTATTGTTAGTACTTTCCTGTCACACTACAATTAATGAAAAAGGTGTAGAGGTCATCAATTAAGAACAGTGGATACATCAATTAGTTATGGACACAACACAATACAGAGAATGAAGCTTGTCTGGCCTTCTTGCACTAGGGAATACTGTGTTGTCTATATTTTTTCCAATTTCTTGAATGTTATCAAATATATCACCATATTCCAAAGACAGAGGAAGATTCAATTACCCATCCATTTCAGCAAGAAGTTGATTTATAGTCTGCCTTGAATATGGATGCATTGGCGACTCGATTCGCTTCCCACCAACAGAATCTAATTCATCAATAAATATAACACAGGGAGCATTTGCTTTTGCTTCCCCTAGGAAAACAAAAGAGATTCCAATAAGTTTAATGAAATCAATACTTTTTGAACAAAGTCATATAAATATGAAAAACCTGTAAGGTTGTCAAAAGCCAACAAAAGACATTCATTTGGGAGACACAACACAAAAGGAGGTCTCTTTCTTTCTTTCAAAACTGATTTAAGAACAGTAGCCTCAAAAAAACTGTATCATATACAGTAATATACAACACAAACAACTGAGTATTCACTCTTCCAACTGCACAAACCATATACAATCAGATTTGAGGCTAATTATTCTTTAATTACATACTATCAGATTAACAAATAAAATGAATAGGACAACAACAAAAAACCCAGCTTTACAACAGCCCCCAACTCGTCAAACACCTCTCCTGGCTCTTCTCTTTGGAGGAAAAGTACAGTTCTGTTTTAGCTCACATTAAAGTACCTAAAACCTGACCCCCACAATGGCTAGGTCAGCTATCAATCATAATCACACAGCCAAGAAAGGGTTAAGAAGCCCTCTTCCCCCAAAAGTAAGAAGATTTGCTATTGTATGAAAGACACGTTAAAACGTACTAAATAGATTTCTTATACGGCTGGCTCCCACACCCACAAACATCTCATCAAATTCTGATCCAGAAGCATAATAAAAAGGAACATCAGCTTCTCCAGCCACAGCTCGAGCAAGAAGTGTCTTTCCTGTCCCTGGGGGTCCAACTAAAAGAATTCCTAAAAGAAAAAATAAGTGAGAATGATTCAAATTAAATAAAAACAAAACCAAAAACAAAACCCTGATGTGAACCTATAAAACAAATAGTTAATAATTAATGTATATAGTTTGGAGGTTGAAGACACATGACCAGTATTTTGAAACAAAGCAAAACATGTCTTTAAATAATGATTCAACTTCAGGATCTTCTCCAAAACTAATTTCCTTCTATCATTTAAATACTGCTTATCTATCGGTCCTCAACAAGTCAGAATCTTGAGAGAAAGGAATATAAACTTATTTATCACTAAACAAAAGTCACATCAAAACAGATTAAGAGATTAAAACAACGAAACGTACTACATGAACCCTTGACTTGATGATCTTCCGTAAAAAACATACTTAAGAAATTCTAGAGACATTTGAGGAAAATTTCAAAAAAACCTGGAGTACCAGATATCAAGGAAATAGTATTTAGTTTTATTTGGTAGGATAAATTACTCTCTTTATTTAGGATAATGTGCTTGATCTTAAGTGATGCATACCAAAGGCTTTAGATGTAAAGTAGTTAATCTCTATAGCTTTGTAACTTTTTCATATGTTTGAAAATTTTCATAACAGCAGTAAGTTCTTCTAAGTTGAAATAACAGAATTCTTTAGGTTCCACAACTTTTCACTTTTCAGAATATATTTAAACAGGCAACAAAATTATATTAATGCTATATTTTAACATAAAACACTCTTTAAAAAAATTTTTTTTTAATATTTATTTTTGACAGAGAGAGAGAGACAGAAATGAGCAGGGGAAGGGCAGAGAAAGAGGGAGACACAGAATCCAAAGTAGGCTCCAGGCTCTGGGCTGTCAGCTCAGAGCCCGACGCGGGGCTCGAACCCACAGACTGCGATATCATGACCTGAGCCGAAGTCGGACGCTCAACCGACTGAGCCACCCAGGCATCCCATGAAACACCCTTTTAAAGGAAAGCTGAAAAATACCCTTCAGACTGTCCCCTTGTGTTGCCATGTTATTCCTAACTGGTTTAACTCCTCACTGTATCAATTTCTTATAGAATACATTTTGGTACCTGAGAATTTTCCCACAATTTTATACAATATCCTTTGATATTGTATAAGAAAAGTGTCACTATTTTATGGTTTTAAACATGCTCTTTATGATGTTATAATATTGACTTAATAAATGAATCCTAAATTAGCAGACTCATGGAAACAGTTTTAGATACTTCTGAACATTCTCAGTAGAGACAGTGTGTAGCACAAAACCAAATGTAAATAGCAGTGTCTCCTTTAATTCACCAATTCCATTTTGAGAATTGGAATCTAGCATAGTGAATAAATAACACATGAGTAAATCTCCAATGTATTCTAAGGAGTTAATTAAGCATGTGGGCAAAGCCTTCAGACCTTAAGATGATCACCACAGCACTGATTTTATTATCATAATTAAAAATTTTTATGTGAGTAGAGCTGACACACAGTTACATTCGTTTCAGGTATACAACGTAGTGATTTGGTAAGTTTACACATTATGCTATGCTCACCACAAGTGTAGTTACCTTCTGTTGCCATGCAACACTATTATTACAGTATCACTGAGTATATTTCCTATGCTGGGCCTTTTATTCCTCTGACTTATTTATTCTACAACTGGAAGCTCTCTCCCTTCCCCCTCACCGACTTTGCCCAGCCCCCAATGTGCTCATTTTAACAGCAAAACACCAGAACCATTTAAAAGTTCAATAAATGATTATAGTACAACTGTATAATATAAGGACACCATTAAGTCATTACAATTTTGTACCCAATTTTAGCCTACGTTTTTTCCCTCACACAAACAAGCAATTCTCCAACACCACCTGGGTGTCCTACAATTCAACTCTATTCTGACATGAACTACCTGGACATAGCATCAAATACTGCAAGTTAAGGCCTTGGTCCCAAAAGACTGCCTATATGAACTGCAAGACCAGGCTGTTACCTAGGCTTCTGACCAACAGGCTCTAGATAGGAGGTTCCAATGATCTCTTCCTTGGATTTGATTAATTTGCTAAGATGGCTCACAGAACTCAGAGAAACAACACTGTACTTACTAGATTACTGGTTTCTTATAAAAGGATACAACTCAGGAACAGTCAGATGGAAGAGATGCATAGGGCAAGGAAAAGGAAAGGGATTGTTGAGCTTCTGTGCCCTCTCTAGATATGCCACTCTTCCCACATCTCCACATTTACCAACCTGGAAGCTCTCTGAACCCTATCCTTTTGGGTTTTTATGGAGGACTCATTAGACATGCATGACTGATTCAACCTCCAGCCACTCTCCCCTCCCAAGCAGTTAGGAGGGTGAGAGTGAGGTTTCAGCTGTGTAATCACATGGTTGATTCTATTGGCAACCAGCTCCTAACCTTAGGTGGGTTCTAAAAGTCACCTCACAGTGTTGCTCTCAACACTAGGAAATTGTAAGAAATGGGATTAAGACTAAATATGTATTTCTTATTAAAAATCACAACAGTCATTAAATCATATTAACTGTGGGAAAACCTCAGAGAGGAACATTCTACAAAGTAGTGTGTACTATTTGTAAGGTCATAAAAGATCCATACCCACTCCTACAATAAAAGGCTGAAGAATTTTTTCAGATTAAAGAAAAATCTAAATGTTATGTGTAAACCTGGATCAGGTCCTAACTTGGGTCGGCGAGGGTGATGGGAGGACCTTACTACGAAGGATATTAGTAAGAGAAATGCTGAAATTTGAATATAACTGTGAATTTCATAATAGTTTTGGAACCAAGTTAAATTTCCTGATTTTAAGAACTATATTGGAGTTATATAATAGAATATCCTTATTTTAAAGAAATATGTAATAGGTATTTGGGGTTAAAGGAGCATGATATCTATAACTTACTCTCAAATAATTAAAAAAATACATTTATGTGAAGAAAGTGAATGAGCAAATGGGACAAAGTGCTAAAAAAACTGTTGAGTCTGGTTAAGAGTACAGGGAGTTCTCTGTACTGTTCTTACAACTTAAAGTTTGAAATTATAACAAAACTCAAAATCCCCTTCCTCCCAAAAAGGTTATACAATGTTAGGTTTAGAATGAAGACTTATTTCTAAAACAGCAATTAAGAATTAAACTTTAGGCATTTAAATCTGATAAAAATTAAATTAGCAATGGATGACAGTATTTTTGATGTCAAGTCATGGTAAAGGGAAGATATCTTACCTTTTGGAAGTTTACCTCCAAGCACAGTAAATTTTTGTGGATTTTTCAAGAATTCAACAACCTCCTGTAATTCTTGTTTAGCTTCTTCCACCTAAAGTGACACAATTTACCAAACAATTCTAAATAATGGATTATCAAGGCTGCCTCTTTGAAAGTAGTAAATGTAACTGGAAGTTAACTTGGCTTTCTCTTTGTTTCAGGGAAAGAAGCACACAAGAAGGCCCCTTATAAATGCAAACACAAAGGGGTTTTCACCTGACTCTTTTTGCCAATTATGCAGTCTCCTTTATAAGTTTGTATATCTGAGAGACAGCGTATGTGTGAACGGGGAAGGGCAGAGAGGAGAGAGAGAATCCCAAGCAGGCTCAGCACTGTTAGCACAGAGCCCAACGTAGGGCTCAATGCCAAGAACAGAGAGATCATGCCCTGAGCCAAAGTCAAGAGTCAGATGCTTACCCAATGGAGCCACCCAGGCACCCCCCATTATGCATTTCTTTACATATCCCAACAAAAGCATTCTCAACTTCCTACCTTTTCAAGAAATAGTGCTCCCTCCAGTTAACAAGCACTTATATTCAAAATTCCAGTTAAATGTGTCAGTGGCATTTGTTGTAAATAGAAAGGTTCCCCTAGCAAGTTTCAAATCCAGAACTTTGGAACTGATTACAAGCTTCCAGGGCAAACTATGTAACTTAATGTACATCAATGACAAGGAAGCCTGTGTTTAAATTATAACAATGATTTAGGATTCATTATGAGATTATTTTCATTATAAGGAGTTACTACTAGATTATAAATGATTTAGTTCCCAACAAATGCCAAAGGACAGTGACTAAAATTAAGCTATAGTATACGGATATTGTTTTGTAAATGGTTGTGGCCAAAAAAATTTAGAGTATTTCATCCTCAAAATATAAAAAATTATGTAAGAATTGAGATTCCTAGCAGGCGTAAAGCCCAATCTGGTCAACAAATATGTCAAGTAGAACATTAGCTCAACTTAAAAAAAACTGATATAAGGAAGCTGCCTATCAGAAATCAGGTAGCATACAACTATGAGTAACAAATGCAAATACCTAGGAGCCAGAATAATATTAGAGTTGAGCGCAGAAGACCAAATGAAAACAACAGTGGTGGCAATATACTGAAAAAGCAGTATACTGAAAAAGGGTCTGGAAAGCAACAGACCCTTACAGAGGGCAAATAATCACAATCTGGTTCTACAAAGGAGTACAGAACTCATGCTCCAGACTTTAATTTTTCAAGGAAAAATAAAAAAGACATCATTAAAGATATTAAATATCCATTTAAATGAAAAAAATGTATTTGTGGGGCACCAGGGTGGCTCAACCAGTTAAGCGTACAAGTCATTGATTTTGGCTCAGGTCAGGATCTCAGGGTTATGAAGTCGAGCCCCTATATCAGGGCTCCACCCGGAGCTTGAAGCCTGCTTGAGATTCTCTCTCTCTCCCTCTCCCCTGTACTCCACACCGCCTGTGCAACCTCTCTCTCTTAAAAAAACAAAAACAAACGAAAAAAACCCACAAAAAACAATTTAAAAAAATGCAATTGTGTATGTACTCTTTTAGGTATTTTATTTTATTTTTTTAATTTTTATAAATTTTTTAATGTTTATTTATTTTGAGAAAGAAAGTGCAAGTGGGAGAAGGGCAGAGCAAGAGGGAGAGAGAGAATCCCAAGCAGACTCCACACTGTCAGCACAAGAACCCGGGGGAGGGCTCGATCTCACTAATTGTGAGGTCATGACCTAACCCAAAATCAAAAGTTGGATGCTTAACCAAATGAGCCACCCAGGCGCCCCTATATTTATTATATTTTATTTTATTTTTTAATGTTTGTTTATTTTTGAGAGAGACAGACACAGAGTGCAAGCAGGGGAAGGGCAGTGAGAGAGGGAGACAGAATCTGAAGCAGGCTCCAGGCTCTGAGCCATGAGCACAGAGCTCAACACGGGGCCGGAACTCACGAATCATGAGATCATGATCTGAGCCAAAGTCAGACACTTAACTGACTGAGCCACCCAGGTGCCACCTCCCCATATTTATTTTAAATTACACTGTCCAAATAATATATTCACAGCCAATTTGCAACTCTACGTTTAGACAACTTTAAATAATAGCTCTCAATGAGAAGAAAAAACTCAAGTACATTAGGGTTTAAAAGAAACTACCTGGCCAACAGACACATGAAAAGATGCTCAACATCGCTCCTCTTCAGGGAAATACAAATCAAAACCACATCAGATATCACCTCATGCCAGTCAGAGTGGCCAAAATGAACAAATCAGGAGACTATAGATGCTGGGGAGGATGTGGAGAAACAAGAACCCTCTTGCACTGTTGGTGGGAATGCAAACTGGTGCAGCCACTCTGGAAAACAGTGTGGAGGTTCCTCAAAAAATTAAAAATAGACCTACCCTATGAGCCAGTAGTAGCACTGCTAGGAAATTACCCAAGGGATACAGGAGTACTGATGCATAGGGGCACTTGTGCCCCAGTGTTTATAGCAGCACTCTCAGCAATAGCCAAATTGTGGAAAAAGCCTAAATGTCCATCAAACTGATGAATGGAGAAATTGTGGTTTATATACCCAATGGAGTACTACGTGGCAATGAGAAAGAATGAAATATGGCCCTTTGTAGCAACGTGGATGGAACTGGAGAGTGTGATGCTAAGTGAAATAAGCCATACAGAGAAAGACAGATACCATATGTTTTCACTCTTATGTGGATCCTGAGAAACTTGACAGAAACCCATGGGGGAGGGGAAGAAAAAAAAAAAAAGAGAGGTTAGAGTGGGAGGGAGCCAAAGCATAAGAGACTCTTATGAACTGAGAACAAACTGAGGGCTGATGGGTGGTGGGAGGGAGGGGAGGATGGGTGATGAGCACTGAGGAGGGCACCTTTTGGGATGAGCACTGGGTGTTGTATGGAAACTCGTGATTATCTTAGATTTCTACATACTTTCCTAGGACTGTTTCTAGGAAGAAATAAAGAGCAAAGAGGTTTTTTTTTTTTTTTAGGCTAAAAATGGTCTTTAAAAGTTATTTCAATTAAATTATGAAAATATACTGTTTATAAAGTTAACGGTTAAAAGCAAAGCTCTGTCCACTCCTAAGCCCAGGAGACACGTGTTATATATGCTCACCAAGAAACATGCAAAGAATATTCATAATGGCAGTATTTAGGTGAAAACTAGGCACAATTCAATGTCCACCTAATGTTGAATAAATAAACAGTACTGTAATATTCACAGGATACCATGCAATGGGGATGAAATGAACTACAACTCCATTTAAAAACATGGATGGATCTCATAAACATCATGGTGGGTGAAAAAAGCCATATACACTACATGTATTATACATGTCCATATGAAATTCAAAAGCAGGGGAAACTAATATATGTTATTAAACAGAACAATGATTATCCTTGGAGTGGTAAGAAAGGAACACTAGGAACTTTCTGCTAATATTCTATTTCTTGAGCTGGGTGCTGATAATTATGAGTTCACTGTATGGGAATTTATTAAGGTATAGATTTATGATTTGTGTAGGTCTGTGTGAATGCTAAGCTTCAATAAAATTTATGTTTAAAAAGAGATTTGGTTCTTTATTAAAATAAAATTTTTAAATATTCAAAGTTATTCATATACTAAAACAAGACCAAAATACATTTGGTCAAGGTAATGGATAACTTTGAATTGTAGGAAAAAAGAAAATAGATTAGATGTCACCTACTACTCAAATTAAAATTTCTCTCCCCAGATTCTGTGGCAAGAGAATTCTCAACTGAGGTATATAAAATCTATATAGGAAAATAGAGTTTAGGGGGATCAAGACAATGAATGAAGTTATAAAAGCTGTTATTAGTATTTTTATGGCAGCTATATATAATATTATTCCTACACAAACAAATCTAAGCAAGGAAATGATATTCCTATACTAGCTCTTTAAGACTTGGTAAAACTGGGGCACCTAGGTGGCTCAGTTAAGTGTCCAACTCTTGTTTCAGCTCAGGTCATGATCTCACGGTTCGTGGGTTTGAGACCTTCATCTTGGGCAATGTGCTGGCAGTGTGGAGGCTGCTAGGGATTCTCTCTCTCTCTGCTCCTCCCCAGCTTGCACACTCACCCTCTCTTTCTCTCTCTCGAAATAAATACGTAAATCAATGTAAAAAACAAAACAAAAAGACTTTGTAAAACTGACCACAGGTACCACCTAATGGTATACCTATTACGGTAAATGTATGTAAATTATAACATATATATATATATATATAACATTTATAGATATCTATAAACAGTTATATGTATCTACATATGAATTTAGATTTGATAGCAATAACAGCAATATAACATTATAGCAATAACATATAATATATATGTAATATATAACAATAGCAATAATATATAATATATATATAACATTTATAGATATCTTTAAACATTTATATATATCTACATATAAATTTAGATTTGATAGCAATGACAGCAATATAACATTATAGCAATAATTACAGTATTTGTTAATATTACCACGGAAAACTCTGTGACAATCTGAAAACTCTGTGATGTCCCCATTTTTTTTTTTTAATGTTATTTATTTTGGGAGAAAGTGTGAGCATAAGAGCAGGGGGAGAGGCAGAGAGAGACAGAGAGAGAGAGAGAGAGAGAGAGAGAGAGAGAGTGTCTCAAGAAGGCTTCACACTGTCAGCACAGAGCCCAGTGTGGGGCTTGAGCCCATGAACCCATGAGATCATGACCTCAGCTGACATCACAGTTGGATGCTCAACGGACTGAGCCTCTCAGGAGCCCCTTGTGATGTTCCATTTCTAATACTATCAGCATGTCTTCTTTAGCTTTGTAATCAGAAATGGACTCATTCCAAAAGAAGTGTGGTAGATTAAGTAATGAAGTATGTATAAAAAGAGATTTGGTTCTTTACTAAAATAAAATTTTTAAATATTCAAAGTTATTCAAAAGAAGTGTGGTAGATTAAGTAATGAAGTATGTATAAAAAGAGATTTGGTTCTTTATTAAAATAAAATTTTTAAATATTCAAAGTTATTCATATACTAAATGCCTTGCTGACCATAACCTCAACACAGGTTCAATGTCATGCAGGCTCTCAGCTCTCTCTGCACACCTTAAAAAAAATGAGAGGGGCCCTCTGCGCTAAGGAGTCAAGTTTTCAAATACTCACTGCCCCAGCCTCCTCCTCAATTATTCCCTTTCCACAATTCCAGCAGAGTTCACAGCTGTTTAAATTGCAAAGGGAAGGGAAGGACTACTTGGTATAAAGGCAGCATAGTGACTTCTGATACTTTATTCCCTAATATTTGAGTAGGTGAAAAATATTTATGCTTAAATGGGGAACAGAGTATGGAAAGGGGAAGAGCTCTCGTTCTTTTTTTTTTTTTTTTTTTTAACGTTTATTTTATTTTTGAGACAGAGAGAGACAGAGCATGAACGGGGGAGGGTCAGAGAGAGAGGGAGACACAGAATCTGAAGCAGGCTCCAGGCTCTGAGCTGTCAGCACAGAGCCCGATGCGGGGCTCGAACTCACGGACCGCGAGATCATGACCTGAGCTGAAGTCGGCCGCTCAACCGACTGAGCCACCCAGGCGCCCCGAAGAGCTCTCATTCTATTGCATATTACAAGTGGCTTTTTCATTGGTCAACAACCAAGCCAGGCACATTAGCTCTTCAGGGTCCTTGCTCTCTATGTTCCTCTGGCTAGAAACGTTCTTTGCTCAAATATATGCATGGTTTAGGGGCACCTGGGTGGCTCAGTTGGTAGAGCATGCAACTCTTTTTTGTTGTTGTTGTTAATAAAGAATATTCCAAATATCACTGGAGGCGCTTAATGAATTTATGTTGTACTTTTATTTTTATTTTATTTTGGAAACAGAGAGAGAACCCCTCTTGTGTTCTCTGAGAGAATCATAAGCAGGCTCCACGCTCAGTACGGAGCCTGACACAGGACTCAATCCCATGAGCCTGTGACATCATGACCTGAGCCAAACTCAAGAGTCAGATGCTCAACCAACTGAGCCACTCAGGAGCCCCTGAGGATGAGACTCCTGATCTCAGGGTTCTTAGTTCAAGCCCCACGTTGGGTGTATAGGTTACTTAATATCTTAAAAAAAAAAAAAATCCATGGTTTACTTTATCTTCCTTAAATGTTCACTCAAGTGTCAACTTCTCAATCATACACTGAATATCACCATTTAAAATTGTGACTCTTCTCTCAGAACTCCCGATCTCCTTTACCCTGCTCTATATTTTCCCATAACACTTCACTTTTGAACATACTATATTATAATTTCCTTATATGCCATATCATTGTCCAATTTCTGTTAGAATTAAAATCCATAAAGGGAAAGATCTGTTTTATTTCTTTTATCCCAATATCTAAGTTCTAATCATGGCTTGGTCTTTTCTAATAGCCAGTCCCCACCCAGGAGCCCACCCAGAGTTGCCTCAGTACAAAAAAACAGTGCTATCACCCAAGAAATTCCTAGGGATTGAGAAGCCCTGTGTCAGAAATCGGGGTCAAAGACCAAACTGTAGAACCCAAAATGCACCTAGTACTCTTGTCACGTCGGAAATTGCAACAGTTTTAGTGCTTGGAACTGGAGGTAGAGACCAATATATATGTATTTTCTATTTTACACCTTTAAACTCAAATATTGGCGCTACATAATTAGATAATATTCGAAGAAAGCAAAGTAAACTTCTTAACTTACTCCTTTAACGTGTTCAAAGGTGACATTTTTCATCTGGACAGGATCTACTGCAGAATCAAGCCCTGTTGTTGTCCGGAAGCGGACTAAAGAGAAGAAAAGAAATGCTTATATCTCTGATAGATTTATAAAATTCCAACCACCTTGTTTTTCAGATTTAAGAAAGCCCAGAAAAATTACATCTAAATTCACATTCATTAATTCACAGTGAAGTACAGAAACTAGGTCTACTGGATTTCTAGGCTGTGTTCAAGGAATCAATGACCCTCATTAAACTATCTTTGTACCTTCTAATTAAAATGAAATAGTATTTCCCTCTTCTATAGTATCTCATAACAGAGATTTAAACCAATCATTTTCAAACTCCACTGTGCATAAAAGTCACTTCAGAAAGGTGTTAATGCAAGTTCCCAGACCATGGCCCAGAACTTCTGATTTGCAGATTTAGTAAAAGGCCCAAGAGTTTGCATTTTTAACATTAAATTATCCTGCTACAACTGGTCAGAGATGTACACCATGAATACACTGCCTTAAACCTAGCATTAAAAACTGGCACTAGCATTTTTTTTAAGAAGGGTGAAACTTAAAAGAGATTATTTCACTTTTGATGTAGCCTCCTTCCTCTGGCAACTGTTACTTGCCCTCGGATGATAGATCATTAATGACATCATCAAGTATAAGAAACACAGTGAGGCGTGCCTGGGCGGCTCAGTCAGTTAAGCGTCGGACTTTTGCCCAGGTCATGATCTCACAGTTCATGGGTTTGAGCCCCACTTCAGGCTCTCTGCTGTCAGTGCAGAGCTTCGGATCCTCTGTCCAACCCTCCCCCAACCTTTCTCTGCTGATTCTCTCTCTCTCTTGAAATAAACTTTAAAAATACTACTAGTAATTTAAAAAAAACAGTGCAAGTTTGGAAGAACAGTAAAATACGTAAGATCAACTATAAGGAACTATTTATTACAAAGCTTTCTTAAACCTCTCCCCCTTGGTTAAACTTTCATACTAAACATATAAATGAGTAAAAAGTAATTTTAATTTCCTCAGAAGAAGATGAAAATATTGCCTTTAAGACAGAAATTTAGGGGCGCCTGGGTGGCTCAGTCAGTTAAGCGTCCGACTTCGGCTCAGGTTGTGATCTCACGGTCCGCGAGTTTGAGCCCCGTGTCGGGCTCTGTGATGACAGCTCAGAGCCTGCAGCCTGTTTCAGATTCTGTGTCTCCCTCTCTCTGACCCTCCCCTGTTCATGCTCTGTCTCTCTCTGTCTCAAAAATAAACATTAAAAAAAAATTTTTTAAAAGACAGAAATTCAGATGCAAAAAAGTCAGTAGGTAAAAATACAGTTAACGAGAAAACACTTAACATATCAATAATATATGAGTCGGAAGAGTAAATGTAATATAGAAATTCTAGAATGGACACTAATAGTTTTAGCCACTAAACTGTTTATTTAAGAATCTGTGGGGTCCGGGGCGCCTGGGTGGCTCAGTTGGTTAAGCGTCTGACTTTGCCTCAGGCCATGATCTTACAGTTTCTGAGTTCAAGCCCCACGTTGGGCTCTGTGATGACACTGAGGAGCCTGCTTCGGATTCTCTCTCCCTCTCTCTCTGCCCCTCCCCCACTCACTCACACACACACTCTCTCTCTCTCTCTCTCTCTCTAAAATTAAAACATAAACATTGAAATAAAAAATCTATGGGGTGTCTGGGTGGCCCAGTCACTTCAGCATCCAACTCCTGGTTTCAACTTAGGTCATAATCTCCAGGTTCACTGGTTCGAGCACTGGGTCTGGCTCTGTGCTGACAGCACAGGACCTGCTTGGGATTCTCTTTCATTCTCTCTGCCTCTCCCCCACATCCGCACGCCCGTGCATGCATGCTCTCTAAGTAAATACAGTTTTTTAAAAAAAGAATCTATATAGATAGACTTAATAAATAAGGCAAATAAATTTGTAGTTGAACCCACTTGAACCTTGTAAGAAATTAATTACTCAACGGCAATGCACTTCATATTTTAATATATGTTTTACTTAACATAAGAAATTAAGAAAAAAAAAAGAAATTAAGAAACATAAAGGAATAATCAGACCTTTTCCTACTCTTCCGTTATCACCTAGTGTCCCTGTAATGGTTCTGTTTTGAAAATAAGGAGATAAGAGAAGGTGACTCTAGATATAAAAAGAATATTCCTGGATGTTAAAATCTCATCTCAGGTTTGATGCCACAAAAAACTTAAAATATCTGGGGTTACATGCAAGTCCTGGGATGAATTCCTGATCCAGGTCAACTAATATTCTTAACTGTACATCAGTTTTTTCTCTCAAGGTAATCAAACATAAAGAACACAGAGAACACAGGGTAAAAACTGAATAGTTGAAAAAGCAAGCATTACCACTTACAACTGACATTTCATTTTAGACTTGGCAACCCCAGAAAATATGGGACTCATTTAAACTGATGTTTAATAATATGTAATTTTTCATAAATTTATTGTGTCTTTGAAACAAAGAACTATTTCATTTGTATTGTGATTATAAAATTCTAATACATGTTTTTTAAATTTTATAATTGGACAGGTATAATTTTCTAAAAATGTGGAACACTAACCACTAATAGAAGTTAATCTAACATTTTTGATATAACATAAACCTTAAAATTTTAACAAAATATTCTTTTCCCAAAACAAGTCAAAGTTGAAATTTGTACAGTGTCTGAAGGAACTTTTCCTGTAATCCACAAAGCAATGTAAATATGGTAGGCCCTCTGACAATGCAAATGGCATATAATCATAACAGATTAAAACTTTTCTACTTCAACACAAAAGAAACAATCTCAAATTGACCCAATCTGTGAAGCGTTGACTCGTAGGAACAAGGGGCCTAGACACTAGAACTATACATGTTTTCTCACTCCTAAGTCTTAGGCATATTAACTACAAAAAAAAAAAAAAAAAAAAAAAAATTCAAGTATTTAAAAGATTAAAAAAAAGTCAGAAAAATTCAAAGAGCCATTACCAGATAAAAATGGGTTTTTTAAGAGTCCATAAATGCCAAACAGCAACAGAACGAAGAGAATCAGACGAGTTCGTCTTAGAGAATCTGGAAGGAGAAAAAAAAAAAAGCCTTAAATGACATCAATGAGAAAGGACAGCTTGACAAAAGGCAAATATTAGGTTACTGATGGAAACCATATTTCATCACATGAGGTTTTGGAACGTGGCATGCTTTTGTATAACTGCCATGATTTCCTTTCAGCACCCTGTCAGCAAAACCTCACGAAGCCACTCAGGCTTCTGTCCTTGACATAGGTTCTCAAAACAAGGCAAAGAGTCCACAGATATTTCCATTTTGACACAGCTTACATTACAAATATAACAGAATATAAGCAGTGAAAAAGTGGTAATTGTTAGAAAAAAGATTTATAATCACTTAAATACAGGACTATGACTTCCTTTTAGGTATCTACCCAAATATGAATGGGGTCAAATCAACTTACCATTGGTTTTTTGTGTTAGTGCTTGCGCTTTCAGAAAACCCTCTGCAAAACCAGTTTTAAACGCATCTTGGTGAGCTTCGGGTATATTTTTGGTCTTCATGAGTTTGTCCAAACTCTCAACATCTGATCCTCTGTCCCGCAAAAGGAACCCCTAAATACACAAACAACACATCAGTATTGATTGACTATATAGATAACACACTCCAAAAATATAATCACAACTCACAAAAATATTCATTCAAAGAGTCTAGAAATTCTAATTTTTACCGTCTGTGTGAAGAATTACAGTAATACTCAACAATAAATTACTTCATCAATGGCTAGAAAACTAACTTTGGACCTTACACTTGCATCAATCAATTCAGGTCAAGAAACTCTCTGTAAGAACACTATACTGAGGGGCACCTGGATGGCTCAGTCAGTTAAACGTTCAACTTCGGCTCAGGTCATGATCTCACAGTTTGTGGGTTCAAACCCAGCGTCAGGCTCTGTGCTGACAGCTTGGAGCCTGGAGCCTGCTTCGGATTATGTGTCTCCTTCTCTCTCTGCCCCTGCTCGTACTTTCTTCACTCCCAAAAACAAACAAACAAACAAAAAAGGACACTATAGTGAAAACAACAAACAGGTCACAGGTGGACTTAGGGTTCTAATGGTTTGATGTTCACACTCCTTTATCGCTAGTAGAGGAAAAACCTCATCAATTTATTAAATGTTTACTGAGCATCTTTTATATACGTGGCCTTATAGAAGTTCTGATAATTTAAAGACAAATAACGAATGATCTGAATGTTCTCAGACTGGTGGGGAGAGATACACAAATAATCAATTTTTTGAAATCATTTTGTTATTATGTTAGAAGCTCTAGGTCTGGTAAAATAAATGCTACCTCAGGAAGTCAGGAAAGGCATTACAGAGAACAGGATTTCTAAATTTTTTTTAACATTTTATTTTTACTTTTGAGAAACTGGGGGCGGGGAGTAGAGAGAAAGAGGAACAGAGGATCTGAAGTGGGCTCTGCCCTGAGGGCAATGAGCCCGATGCAGGGCTCAAGGTCACGAACCAAGAGATCATGACCCAAGCCAAAGTTGGGCGCTTGACCAACTAAGCCACCCAATACCCCGAAAACAGGATTTCTAAACCACAGGCAACACAAAGCATAAGCAAGTTGACAGAGTCATTAAATAACAGCCTTCAGTGCTCAAGAACTACACACAACCTTGTGTAACAGGACTTAAAAATGCAAGAGAGGAGCAGGATAGAGGTTCAGAGGGGATGCCATAATGAAAGATGAGAACAGAAAAATAGTAGGCAGGGGCCAAAAGATGAAATGCCCTGTGTACTATGGCATGAATCTGACAATAAAGCAGAGGAATACAATTATTATATTAATACATTTTAGACAGATTGGTGGGAGGGTGGCAGTCTGGAGTCTAAACTGAAGGTAGCAAAACTAAAGACAAGGAGATTAAATACATGTATATTTGAGTCACTTGGGCAAAAATTGTTAAAGTCTATCTATGCAGTGGAATTGGGGATGAAAAGAAACAGACCTAAGAAGTATTTAAGAGGCTGGATCAATAGGACTTTAGTGATTAATGGGCGTGAGAGGAGAGAGATGAATAAATCAAAGTTGATCATCAGGTTTCTAGCTTGGGTGGATGCTATTCATGAACACAGAGAACACACAAGCAGGTGTAGGTTGGTAGGAAAAAGGACAAAGGGAGATGTCTAACAGGCCAATGGAGAGACATGACTGGCACTCAGAAAAGATGTAGGTATAATGACTTAACACAGGTTATTAATCCTTTAGAAAATCAGTTGGCCAATAAAAGAAATCAGATAATGAAGGTTCTCATTTTAATAATTTGAAATGTATTGCTTTTTCAAAAACAAAAAAGAGTTCTAATTACCTTTACAAATGATGGCGCTATATGCTGTGTTTCTGCCAATCTTTCAGAGGTGGACTGTAGACGCCGTGTTCTTGATTTCAAAGTTTTAAAACCCCGAGACTGTATGAAAACTGAACAGAATAGTATCACATTTAAATTTTTAAATAGTATCTCATTGTAAATTTTTATAAGGAAAATGCCTAAGATTTGAAACTAACACCAAGCCTGTATATCCTAGTTTACTATCTCATTTTTTAACATAGTTCTTTGCCTGACGCTTCACTATACTAATAATTAAGGTCATCAAAATGGGTTTAATCTGTAAGTTAAGTTTACAACTTCTTGAGAGTTTTAAAATGTTAAAAAAAAAAAAAAACCTACTGATGAGTATCAAATACAAGTCAGTGTCTAATTCCTCAAACCCCAATCCCACTTCCCAGAAGTAACCACTCAACAATTTCATGACTACGCTTGTATGTGTTTTAACACATGCTTTTTCTATAAAAATAGTGTACAATTTTTTGTCTTCTTTCACTTAACACTGTATCATGGACATTTTTCAGAACAGGTCAGACAATGCATTCAATTTAATGGCTGTTAACATTCTTCTAATTTTCAGTGTATAGCAATTTGAATATTCTACTACTTTTCTACTATGGACAGTTGTTTCCTGTTTTCTTATTGCTAACAATGGTGCAGTTATAATTCTTGTACATATCATCTTTCAGCAAATGTAGGCTAAATTCTTAATGTGAAGCTGTGAGGTGTGAATTATTTAACACTAAGAAATTGCTCTCTAGGGGCGCCTGGGTGGCGCAGTCGGTTAAGCGTCCGACTTCAGCCAGGTCACGATCTTGCGGTCCGTGAGTTCGAGCCCCGCGTCAGGCTCTGGGCTGATGGCTCAGAGCCTGGAGCCTGTTTCCGATTCTGTGTCTCCCTCTCTCTCTGACCCTCCCCCGTTCATGCTCTGTCTCTCTCTGTCCCAAAAATAAATAAATGTTGAAAAAAAAAATAAAAAAAAAGAAATTGTTCTCTAGAAGGCTGTTATGGATTTATATACCCACCAATGAATAGGAGTATCCTTTTCTCCACATCCTGTGCAACCCAGGTTAATATAAATGTTTTTAATTTGTACAAGTGTGATAAGCAAAAAGTAGGGTCTTGTTTTAATCTGCATTTAAGATTATGGGGGGAAACTTAGAAAAAATTTTTTTCTTTCATTGAAGATTTTATTTCTTTAGCAAATTGATCACTCATGACCCTTCCCATTTTCATTTGTAAAAGAATGCATGTTATATTTAGTAACTTGAGGTCATGTATATTTGAAATATTTATTTTAATGTCTTTGTCTTTTGATGTAGCACTTTATAAAGTTAATGTAGCCTTATCTTTTAACTTTTTGTTTTCTTCACTGTGTTACTGTGTTTTGATTAGAGAGCCTCATCCCCGAACTATGATTTTAAAAGGAATCTACTGACTTTTAACTCTTTTGTTCAGACCTTTGCCTATTTGGAACTTATTTAAAAAAAAAGCAGGGGGGGGATCCGATTCCCCTTTTGTTTAGGCCCACGTTTGTTTATTTTATTTATTTATAAGTGATCTCTTGAACTCATGACCCCAAGATCAAGAGTTGGATGTTCTACTGATTGAGCCAGCCAGGCACCCCATTTTACTAAGCCCAAGTTTAAAATCAACTTCTCGGTTTTCATAGCAAGTGTTTAGGGTTTTGATTGGGGTTGCACTGAATTAATAAATTTGGGCATACATTAAAACTGTCACAGTACAAAATCCTTTCAAAGAGGATTGTGGCATTCTTTCATTTTATTTTACTCAGCTCTTTGATTCCTTCAGTAAAGTTTCACAGGCAACATATATACATATGTATGTGTACATTATGTTGAATATTTGTCAGGATAAAAGATTTGCTGGGTTTGAAGAAAACTATAAATAAAACCTACTGCTAGAATATAAGATCTTGATTTTGAGACATTTATCTCATATGATACCAGAGTAGCTTTTCAGATGATTTTCTTAAGTTTCCTAGTAAGCAAGCATCTTACCTGGTAAGCAAAAACAATCAAAATTTTGCCCTTCCTTAAACTTACTTTCTATTCTAGCTTTCTACAACATTCTAGAAGTGTAACAATTAAAATATATTACATGTCTTTTTCATACACTAAAATAAATTTTTTCTTCTCTAATCAATTAACATGATAAATTAACATACTTCCTAATATTGAATCACTTTTGTATTCCTCAATCATATTGATAGCAATTTCTGTACTTGCTTTTTCAGATTTTATTTAGGATTTCTGTATTTACATTATGAAGTGAAATTGATCTATTGGATTCTTTTTTATGCTAACATTTTAGTATCTGCGATCTTGTGGAATAAACAGGGAAGCCTATTCTACCTTTTTCTTTATTAAGAAAGTTATAAAAAATAGGAAACTGGTGATCCTGGAAAACAGAACACAACCATAAAACCATCTGAGCCTACCTCCTCTGGGGCAGTGGGATTATATTTGAAAAATACTCTTTCAAATTTTATAGTTATTGTCTTATCTTTTTTCTTGGGTCAATACTGCTAATTTATAACTTGGATATTTTTTCAACATATTTTTATTTATACACACTCTTAAAAGTTTAAAATCTTCATTATCTGTGGCTGTTACCACTTTTCACTTCTAACATTATTTTCTCATTGTTTTTAATCAGACCATTCTTTTTTTTTTTCTCAAATTAAATTTGTTCTTCATTTAATTAAAACCCCCTGGATGTTGCATTCATTTCATGTTTTATACTTTTCAATTTCTCACATTCGTTTAAAGAAATTCTCAGAATGATTGTTTCATCAATTTAGTTTCCATCTTTCTTATTTCCTAATAAATTATACGATGCACTCAGCATCAATAGGTCTTCAACTCAAAGATTTTGATATGTTGATATTCCTTGTGGTTCATTACTAATTGTCTATAATTTGTTTTTCTTTCCCTTTAGCCACAAGACATTTAGAAAAGTATTTTTAAATTTCCATAGTTAGGAAATTTTGTTTTAGGAACTTTTAAGGTATCCTGTTATACGATTTCCATTTTATCATATGATCAGAGAACCTGACCTGTGAGTTACTAACTTTTTGAAAATGTATTAAGATATTTTTTCATACTTTAATACATGCTCAGTTTTTAGAAGTCTTCCATGAATATTTAAAAATGTATCATCCTTCTTAAGTATTCTTCTGTCTTTTGCATTAACCATTTCTTCAGAGGATTACTGGTCTCTGTGCCCTGCTTGGTATCTCTTTCATGCTATAAGTTTTCCTCAAACATGTGGAGATTCTTGCTGATCCATTTGTAATTGTAAAGGGAATACAGTGATTGGTACTGATTGTAAATAGAGGTTTTCTTAAAACTACCAAGGTGGTAAATGCCTTTATACTACGAAACATGGACTTTTAATGAATGAGCAGGATACCCTTAGTGCATGACTCAAGTCCATTATTTCTCTCCTTGGCATCAATGCTCAAACACAATCTTCAGAGACAGACTTCTCTACACACACACACACACACACACACACACACACACACACACACACACACCCTTTATTACATAAGTGTCTTTTGCCAATTATAGCCTAAAAGTTGCAAGCCCTTTCTGGGACTGGCCCATTTTGGGGAATCTTTCGATTCAACTGTTTATGAATTATCCCAGAGCCCACAATTATTGACTTGGAAATTGGGGTTTTTCCTAAGTTCTACTAGAAATAACAGCACACACCTATTTCATGTCACTCTATTCTAAGTTCCATGAAGGTAGGTAACATATGTTGTTTTCATTTATAATTATCACTGTCACCTGACACTTAACCACTAGTGTCTGGTATTAAATCAATATAAATACGTGCATATTTGATTTTGCTATCAATGTGAGGTCATCTATTTTATACCCTATGGAAAGTCCTCAAATTTCTGGTCCACGGACGAAACCCCTCTGCTGCTGCCCTTTTTCCTCATTAAATTTGTTTTTTGTCATTGTAATGGATTGAAACAATTTTGAAAATGAAATTTTAAAAATATGGAAGTAAACAAATGTGCTTATTAATTATTTTAAAGCTGTAGATAAGTTCCCTAGAGGTTGATTTATTGTGGCACTTATCACTCACATTAAAAATTCAGCTATTATGTATTTTCCAGATTAAAAATACTGGACATACCCAAATTAACTGATTCCAAATACTCTATCCGTTTATTGTGAGCTACAAATGAATGCTTATAAACATTAATATGATTAAGAAAGACAAATCAGAATCCATTGAATAAATCTATGTTTTTCAAAATAAATACAGGTGCTTCATACCTGGCCAGTACTGAAGATCTGAACAAATACTTTTAAGAGTTCTTGAATGTTGTCTATACAGGCAAGAGGAACGTAAAGTACTAAACATATCTAAGTAACCTGGAGGAAAATTGAAAAAAGCAAATTTTCTAGTTACCAAGCTAAAAGAAGTCATGAACTATAGTAATTTTACCAAATATTAGAAATATAAAAATATGAGTTTAGCCTTTTATTTGTTCATATGGCTCTGCTTGTATGAGTTTCTAAGAGCACTACTAATCTAATTACAGTTCTTCATCACTATCCTGTCTATCACTTGTCCCCTAGATTATCTTTTTTATCTGGCAGATGACCCTGGCTGCCAATAAAATTAAATTCAAACCAAAAGGGAAAAGGTATGTATGTTTAGCTAAAGTTACTGTTAGTCAAAAGCACGTAGAGAAAAGAACTGCTATTTCCTAGAGACAATTTCAAACACTCAGATGAATAATGTGACGAGTAAACACTGTAAACCAGAAGCACGGTAATCTTTCTCTCTCAAAGCTTCAGGTCATTGGGTACAAAGACAGTTCCTTCCACAGCTGGAAGCCATAAACTCTGGCGATCCTTGGAACTCCTACTGTTCACTAATGGGCCCCATCCTACTTAACATCCATGAGCCTAGGGAAAAAGTAAACAGCATCGATTGAAACAGATTCTTATCTATCCCAATATCCCAATTAAGAGTTCAGGGATTTTTCTAGGAATCCTATAGTCACATCAACAAACTCCTTCTTAATACCTCTGTCTGCCTAAGCCAAGAAACAGCTGGCAGGAAGAGGCACAACTTTAAAAGGAAATGTAAATACACAGGCCAAAAGAGCAATAGTAATAATACTACTACTATACATCAATGATAGTAACAAAAATTTAACTCTACTGGACACTTACTATGGGCCAAGGAATAAAGTAGTTTGGGCTAAGTAAACTACTTTCATTATTTCATTTGATCCTACACAGTGAGATAAGGAGTTTTCCCCCAGGCTTCACATGAGAAAACAGCAGTTTAGAGGAATAAGGGAAATGCCACAGCTCCTCAGTCTCAGGACTGAGTTTGATCCTGGTCTACTCCTCACCCTTAACCACTAAGCTTCAAGACGTCTCTCAGGAAGGAGGTAGGACAGATTGTTAGTCCAAGCCCCCAGGCTCCAAAACTTCACCTTTTTCTCACAACTCTTATATGAAATAAAGGCAAAACAACGAAAAATTAGTAAATGAATTAAGTGTTTACAATGTACAGCTTCAAATCAATCCTTTATCACAAAACTATTTAAACCTGCACTTTTGTGTTATAATTTGTACTGATTTTTAAAAATATGTTCTTTCATCAATATAAAACAAGTATTTTTTTCAAGTTTTTAAAATACCAAACAAGTATTTTTTTCAAGTTTTTAAAATTTATTTTGATAGAAAGAGGGAACAGAGCAGGGATGGGCAGAGAGGGGCGGGTGGGGAGGGAGGGAGGGAGGGAGGGAGAGAGAGAGAGAGAGAAGGAGATATGAATACCAAGTAGGCTCCACGTTGTCAGCACAGAGCCCGACATGGGGCTCAATCTCATGAACACTGAGATCATGACCTGAGCTGAAGTCAAGAGTCAGATGCTTAACCAACTGAGCCATCCAGGTGACCCTAAAACAAGTATTTTGATAAGGTCTAACATTCACTGTTCAAGTATCAACCAAAAAGAAATTTATGAAGTGGAAATCCTTTTAACGAACTACCCACTCATTATAATAACAGATTGTTACAAGATTTAAATAAGAAAATATACAGACATTCTATAAAACAAAGGGACCAGGACTATTTCTTCAATGTATCCTCAGAAATTAGTACAGTACCTGGAATCCAGTAAAGGTTTGTCACCTAAAATTAAAACAATACTCCACTATTCTAAAATCTGTTTTGTATGCTATATTACATCTTGGGACAAATAACCCTAATGGAAAAACCAGTAATTTAGTAAAATTAAACTTTATTTGGTAAAGTCTAAATACAGTCTATAGTTAAAAGTACCGTACCAATGTTCATTTCTCAGTTTTGACAAATGCACCATGGTTAAGTAAGCAGTTAACATTAGGGGAAGGCAGTTGAAGGATATATAGAAACTCAGTATTGTTTTGCAGATTTTCTATAAATCTAAAATTATTCCAGTATGAAAAGTTATAAAAGAAAGAACAAACAAATGAACTCAGGAAAGAACCTGACACACAGTAAACATTAACAAATGCTATCTGTTGGGCACTTGGGTGGCTTAGTCAGTTAAGTGTCCTACTCTCGGTTTCTGCTCAGGTCATGATCTCACGGTTTCATGGGTTGGAGCCCTGCATAGGACTCTGCACTAACAACATGGAGTCTGCTTGGTATTCTCTCCCCCGCCCCTCCCCTGTTCACACTCTGACTCTCTCAAAATAAATAAATAAACAAACAACTTTAAAAATGAATAAATGCTACCTGTTAAATTATTAATAACTACAACCACTTACTTAAATTGGAACAAAAAACAGACTAACTTACCATATTTATTTTCAAAGAAGGACTGTGCAGAGACATAAGATGTATGCCAATGGGAAGAAATGCTCTTGCCTTTACAAAATCCGGGAAGTAGATTGTCTACCAGTTGATCAATCTGTCCAATTTTTAATTCAGATAATCCAAGGTCTCTTAAATTAAGTACAGGCTGTAAAGGATTGAGTCACCAAGACTGCATTATCATCAAGATATTTAACCAAAGAGTTCTTATCAGTTGAAATAATATGAATTTTTTAAATGTAACAAATATATTGATTCCTCTTTTCTCATATTTAAAAACTAAATTGGTACAAATATTTTTATAGTTCTAGCTTTATGGAGGTCAGTCACATGAAGTTTGACAAAGGTTAAAAATATCACATTTCCAATAGTATTGTGAAGTTATGGACATTTAAAGCCTCCTCCAGTCTCTAATAAACAAAAGCCCATTTGATTTAAAAAAAAAAAAAAAAAAAAAAAAAGACTATGCCGTTACCAGAGGACATCTCATTCCCCTGGCCTCATTGCCGAGATCCTTCTTCGAACTGAGAAGTTCTATAGTTACCCATATCTAACTTCTAATAAGGAGGGACAATGAACAAAGTGAAAAATGTATGAAAACCAGGCAAGAAAATAAAGTCACATTACAACAGTTCTAAACTAACTACAGATTGGATAGGAGTTATTTTCTTGTCCATGGAAACTGTCAAGCAGACATTAAAGACAAGTAACAATTACAAGCCTCAGACACCTGAAAGTTCAAGCAAGGAAAGCAAAAATAAATAGCCCAAGTATCAGCTTCTGATGACTGAGGTGAAGTTAGATACATAAAGTTGCATGCACAAAAAATAAAGTTAGATCGATGGATTATATAGCTCTGGATTGATGTCCAGGCGTTTGTCACTTACTAACTGTGTGACAAGTCATTCATATTCCTTTTTAATTTTTTTCATGTTTATTTTTGAGAGAGAGACATACAGCGCACGAGCAGGAGAGCGGCAAAGAGAGAGGAAGACAGAATCTGAAGCAGGTTTCAGGCTCTGAGCTGTCACAGAGCCCAAGTCAGGGCCTGAACTCACGAACTGAGAGATCATGACCTGAGCCAAGGTTGGATGCTTAACCAACTGAGCCACCCAGGCGCCCTGACAAGTCATTCATATTCTTAAAATCCATTTCCTCATTAGTAAAATGACGATAAAATATGCCTACTTCACAAGATGGTATGGATGAACAGAAAAGATCATGCCTTGGTCATCTGACATATCCCAACATACATACATAGGAAGATAGTCAAAGGCATGATGAAGGAAAATATTTAAACGTGCTCTTTAAACTACTGGGGCCCCTGGGTGGCTCAGCCAGTTCAGCATCCAACTTTTTTTTTTTTTTTAATTGTTTAATTTACATCCAAGTTAGTTAGCATACAGGGCAACAACGATTTCAGGAGTAGATTCCTTAGTGCCCCTTACCCATTTAGCTCATCCCTCCTCCCACAAGCCAGTCAGCAACCCTGTTTGCTCTCTATATTTAAGAGTCTCTTAGGTTTTGTCCCCCTCCATTTTTATATTCTTTTTGCTTCCCTTCCCTTATGTTCATCTCTTTAGTATCTTAAATTCCTCATATGGGTGAAGTCATATATTTGTCTCTAATTTTGCTTAGCATAATAACCCTCCAGTTCTATCTACATAGTTGCAAATGGCAAGATTCATTCTTTTTGATTGCCAATACTCCAGTGTGTGTGTGTGTGTGTGTGTGTGTGTGTGTGTGTGTGTGTGTGTGTGTGTATACACACACACACACCACATCTTCTTCATCTTCTTTATCCATTCATCCGTTAATGAACATTTGAGCTCTTTCCATAGTTTGGCTATTGTCAACAGCACAGCTATAAACATTAGGGTGTGTGTGTGCCCCTTTGAAACAGCACACCTGTATCTCTTGGTTAAATACCTAGCAGTGCAATTTCTGGGTCGTAGAGTAGTTCTATTTTTAATTTTTTGAGGAACCTCCATACTGTTTACCAGAGTGGCTGCAACAGTTTGCATTCCCACCAGCAGGGCAAAAGAGATCCTTTTTCTCCACACCCTTGCCAACATCTGTTGTTGCCTGAGTTGTTAATGTTAGCCATTCTGACAGGTGTAAGGTGGTATCTCATTGTGGTTTTGATTTGTATTTCCCTGATGATGAGTGATGTTGAGCATTTTCTTATGTGTCTGTTCTCCATCTGTTAAGCATCCAACTCTTGATTTCAGCTCAGGTCATGATCTCATAGTTCATGAGATCGAGCCCTGCATCAGGCTTTGCACTGACAGCATGGAGCCTGCTTGCAATTCTCTCTCTCTGCCCCTTCCCTGCTCACATGCCCACGCTTGCTCTCTCAAAAATTAACTTAAAAAAAAGTGCTCTTTAAACTACTAAAAGCTATACAACATAAAGGATATTATTACAATGAAAACAAAACGACTACAATACTCAAAAGCTACTTTTCAAAAGTCACCTTTTAAAAAAGGGGAAGCCAAAAAGTCTATTTACAATACAAAGACTTCAAAAGGGAAGTGGAGATTCTTAACTTAAAATTATTTCCCTTACTTATTGGCTGTCAGGTCCCTGGAATGTAAAGAGAAATAAGATGCATATAAACATAGCAATTATCATACAACATAGTAACTGCTTTACAGAGACTTTTAAAACAAAAAGTAGTAAGAAAACGCAGAGTAACCAATTTCCTAAGTCAGATAAGCTTCACTGAGGTTAACACCTAATTTGCAAAATGATGGTGAGTCTTGGGGTAAAGGGCAAACAAACTACCATAAAAGGGCCTGGATGTTTGAGGTGTAGTCCAAAGATCAGTGATGGAAGAATGAACTAGAAAGATGGGCTATGGGGCACCTGGCTGGCTCAGTTGGTGGAGCATGTAACTGTTGATCTCAGGGCTGTACTTAAAATCTTTTTAAGAAAAAAAAAAAAAAGAAAAAGAAAAAAGAAAAAGAGAAAGAGAAAGAAAGAGAGGAAGGAAGGAAGGAAGACAGGCAGGTTATGGTCAAGTTGTAAAGAGCCTTGTCTGAATTTAATTCTATAGCTAATATAATTAGTTTTGTTTTATACCAAGAAAATAGAAGATAAAGATAATAAACTGGGTAAGAAAAGGCTGATGGAGAAAAGAATTGAAGGCTGATGGAACAAGAGAAAAATGGTATGTGCCTGAACCAAGCTCTAACTAAAGATGGAAATAACAATCATAAATAATAGATACTTGGAGAAACCAGTGAAGTATAATGATTGAGAGGGAGAAGGGTTCTGGATGGATGTGCTAGTTATCATTTTACTGTCTCCTAACTCCTCTTCATCCTTTTTCGGCTCCATGAACAATGATCTGGGCTCTTTAAATATTTTTTCTTTGCCATCTGGGACAATGTGAAGCTTTGTCAGTAGAGACCACTGGAGACACTGTAGGAGTGTTTTTGTCCCTGGTTCTGGTGTGCTCATTCAGCAGGCTCCTGTCTGTAACACCCATTGTTTCTCTAGCATCTGGCGGCCACTTGTATAGCTTCTCCAAAACTTGGCTCCTACAGTAAACAGTGGCCAGCAGTACAGTACCTTGGAGCTTTTTTAGTAAGAGACATCCCCATGAACAGCTTTCCCTGCCTAGATGGCAACTTCCATCAAGTGCAGCTAGCATGACACCAGTGACTTCTCTGCCATTCAGTGAGCCAAGGCCATGCCCTCTTCCAACAAGGTCAGGACAGCAGTCTGTGGGTGGAGAACTCTTCCCATGATGCTCTATCTCAGTCCTAGGAGTATTAGCCACACCTTAAATCTGCTTGTCCTGTATATTTTAGAGTTTACTTATTATTAGCCAACCCCTAGTTACTCCCATCCCATATAAAAACAGGGTTTTAAAAATATTAAACTACAGGGGCGCCTGGGTGGCGCAGTCGGTTAAGCGTCCGACTTCAGCCAGGTCACGATCTCGCGGTCCGTGAGTTCGAGCCCCGCGTCAGGCTCTGGGCTGATGGCTCAGAGCCTGGAGCCTGTTTCCGATTCTGTGTCTCCCTCTCTCTCTGTCCCTCCCCCGTTCATGCTCTGTCTCTCTCTGTCCCAAAAATAAATAAAAACGTTGAAAAAAAAATATTAAACTACAAAATTACCCTAATTTTTTACATTAAACTTTTACTGCTCAATTGACTAGGTGGTTTCTCTTTCCTGATTGGAATCCCTGACAAAAAGGCGCTAAATCCACTGTAATCTCAAATGTACTAGAATTTGAGAGTAGCTGAGTTCTGGACATCTTAATTTTGAGATCCCTGAAATTCTCCGGGGGGGATGGGGGGTTATTTTAACAAAGCACTAAATAAATTACTTCAAAGATTTAAAGAGGGGCGCCTGGGTGGCGCAGTCGGTTAAGCGTCCTTCAGCCAGGTCACGATCTCGCGGTCCGTGAGCTTGAGCCCCGCATCGGGCTCTGGGCTGATGGCTGAGCCTGGAGCCTGTTTCCGATTCTGTGTCTCCCTCTCTCTCTGCCCCTCCCCCGTTCATGCTCTGTCTCTCTCTGTCCCAAAAATAAACGTTGAAAAAAAAAAATTAAAAAAAAAAAAAATTAAAAAAAAAAAGATTTAAAGAGAATTTGGGGTTGGAGACATATTTGGGAGTCATCAGCATATATATAAGTATATAGGATCTAGATGTTAGGTGAAGATATGAAAATGGGTAACATAACTTAGAAGAATGTGCATAACAAAAATTAGATCAAGGATAAATGCACGCCAAATATTTACGGGGCTGGCAAAAAAAGACAAGCCAGCAAAACAGAAAGAGAAAACACCATCATCAATGCAACATCACTCAATTCAAGGGAGTATTTCAAATCTTTGAGGTAAGGAGAATTCCAAGCAGCCTCTGCGTGACTCAATCTCATGAATCCTGAGATCATGACCTGAGTGGAAATCAATAGTCGGGAGACTTAACTGACTGAACTACCCAGGTGCCCCAGGAGTATTTTGAAAGCAGTAAATGTTCAGTAAGATCAAATGCTCAGGAAAAGTTGAATAAGATAGATTTTTTTTAGAGGCCTACATTTAGCACAAAGGAAATCAACTGACTTTAGCAAAGTCTGTAAAATGGTACAAGTAGTAGCCAAACTATGATGAGATACAGTGTGAATAGAAGTTTAGCAAGTAGTTACATGTTCAGACTGCTATTTCAAGAAGTCTGAAAGCAAAGGGAAAATAAGTCAGTAGCTTGAAGGAAGTTGAAAGGAAGGTTCTAATACCTGCATTGTAAAGTGTATATTTGGATGAGCAAGACTTGATGAAAGCAAAGCCAATTGCACAGCAAAGGTAGAGATGAAATTAGAGATGAGGTAGGATGCTTAAGGAGAAAGAAAACAGCTTCTGTACAGTAATAAAGTTCACTAAAGATGAACAATAGGATTAATGAGGGCATATCAGAGATTAAGAAGCCAATTCTATACCTGAGACCATTACTCATAACCTCAACACTGGCTTCCAGAATTTAGCTACTTTTTAAGCTCCTGACCTAGCAATTTCACTTAATGAAATAGTCAAAGATTTAGCAACACAAACAGTAAAAGTTGTAATGTTTATAGCAACAAAAAATTGGGAACAATATCCAATAATGGGATATCATACAATGAACATTCTGAAGTCATTTAAAAATACAAAAAATGTATGGCATAACAAGTTCATAATGACTATTAAATTAACAAAGCAGTATCTAAATCAGCATATGCAGTATGATCCAATTATAAAATAAAGTACAAAAGAGACATGAGATATAAATACAAAATGTTAACAGCATTATCTCTGGGGAACAGGATCATAGGTGAATTTTATTTCTTCTACCTACACAGTATTTTCCAAAATTTCTAAAATGAACATAATATTGCCATATGCAGCAATTTTGATACATGTGGTATTTTCATCAGGCAGGCTCTCTGGGACTGTAATTTAGGAGAAGGGTATCACCACAGTAGAAAAGACAATGGACTCCCTAGAAGAAGCAATAGGAATTAGGTAAATATTATAAAAGGAAAGCATAAAGATGTTGAATACAAATTTTCCATCTAATTAAAATTTTATCTTAAGACTGATTCCCAACCCCCCCCCCCGCCCCTTCCAAGAGTGAACATTTTATCTGCTCTTTGCCAAAGCCTCTGATATCAGGACTAAGAACATAAGTTATTTACGGATTAAAAAGGTTTTTAGGAAATTTAACTACAGAGTATAATGTTTTCTGTGAAAAATGTATTCAGAACTACATGCACCTACCTTATTAATAAACCTTGTGAACACAAAGGTTTCTAGGCTGGGAATTCCCTGTATCCTAGGAAACACTGATTTTATAATTCTCTGAACACTGAAAAGTAGTTTCATAGCTTATACATTTCACTTTCAGGTCCCTGTATTCTAACCGTTCAATTACACTGAAATCTCCTGTAAGGCAGCAGATGGTAACTTCTTACTATTCTACCTTCGTTGAGACTTGGGAGGCAATTACGGTCAGTTAATTGTGGGTTCACTACTACTGCTGGAGCAACACAAAATATCTAAATGGTATCACACAATTAGCAATCTAGGAAGTGAATACTAAATACACTTCCACATGAATTTTTTTTTTTAATGTTTTATTTTATTTTTGAAAGACAGAGAAAGAGAGAGAAAGAGAGAGAGAGAGAGAGAGACAGAGAGAGACAGAGATTTCAAAGCAGGCTCCAGGCTCAGCTGTCAGCACAGAGTCCAATGTGAGGCCCAAACCCACAAACCCTGAGATCATGACCTGAGATGAAGTTGGACCCTTAACTGACGGAGCCACCCAGGTGCCCCATGATTTTGTTTTTTTTAAAAGTAGGCTCCATGTCCAACGCGGGACTCGAACTTACAACCCTAAGATTAAGAATCACATGCTCTTCCAACTAAGCAAGGTAGGCACCCCTGCCACATGAAATTTTTTTTAATTTTTTTTTCAACGTTTATTTATTTTTGGGACAGAGAGAGAGCATGAACGGGGGAGGGGCAGAGAGAGAGGGAGACACAGAATCGGAAACAGGCTCCAGGCTGTGAGCCATCAGCCCAGAGCCTGACGCGGGGCTCGAACTCACAGACCGCGAGATCGTGACCTGGCTGAAGTCGGACGCTTAACCGACTGCACCACCCAGGCGCCCCCACATGAAATTTTTAATAAATTAAATTGTAAAGAATAGGACAACATAACTTTTCCATATGTACAATAAAACCAGAATTAGACATCTTTATTCATAAAGGAGATTAAGCTGAAGACAGAAATCACCTTGTTACAAAGGCCTAAACGTAGACATTTCAGGCATGTTTACAACATACTAAATCAAAAAAGCTGTTTCTCATACAATCATGGTAAAAACTATTACCTCATTGCCAGGAGACTCATGCTCAGGAACTACATCTCGATGCTGGTTTTGTGAAGCTGATGCACTGACAGAAATAGGTGTGTTTTTTGGTGAATGGAAGGCATTGATGAGATGACTCAGAGGAACTGTAACCTAAGAGAAGATAAAAGTTGAAATTGAGTAGTGCTTTTTAAAATTAAAGAAAAATTCTCCTTATTGTCAGGATCTGGGATTTGTAAAAAGTTAAACATACACTGTAGATCAGAACAATATATTAAAAGATGTAAATACTCAGATTATTGCTGGTGGAAAGAACACTGGTAATTCTTCCAAGACAGCATTCTGGCTATATGAATCAAAAATATTTAAAAAACAAACACATATAATTTCACATCAATCTAATTTCTAATAATTTATTCTAAGGAAATAATGTGAAAAGTGCTTGTTTGTGCACAGATGACAATTTTCATCAAAATGTTTAAAAAGCAGTGGAAAGGTAGAATTGTCCAGCATTAAGGGAATGGGCTAAATAAATGACACCACCATAAAATGAAATGTTTCAGACTTAGAAAAAAGTAAACCTATAGCAGAATTTTATTCTTAACTTCCTCACTGCACCATCCCGTCCTCATCCTGTTCTAAGTCACCATCATCTATTTGTGGATTTTGCAATAGCCCTCCTACTCTCCCTGAATCTGCTCTATTAAAAACAAAGTTAGATCTCATCACTCCTCTGCTCAAACCCTCCAATGGCTTCTCTTCTCACTTACAATACAAGTAGAAGTCCTAAGCACTAGGATGTAGAAAGCCTCTGTGGTTCTTTATTACCTCCCCAAATTTATCTACCACAGTGTTCTCCTTCGTCTTCTCTACTCGAGACATACTGGCCGCCTTGCTGTTTCTGGAACACACCTAGCAAAGCCCTCACTTCAAGGACTTTGCATTGCTTTTATTCCGTCTACCTTGCTCTCTGACTTCCTTCAGTTCTTAACCCAAAAGTCATCTTTTCTTGAGTCTTTTCCACAGCCAACCTACTTAAAATTTCAAGAACCCTGCCCTAAAAAATATTCCTTATTCTCTTTCACTGCTCCATTTTCTCTTCTTGACACTTTTAGTATCTAACACACTTTACACACAATCTACTTACTTATCTGTATGTTATTCCTCTGTTTCTCTCCAACCAATTCTGACAATATGGTAAGAACCCATTTAATTTATTCATTCACTCAAGAAATCTTTATTTGGCATCTGTGTGCATTATTGTTGCACTGGGATACAATATGAATAAAATAGAGAAAAAATATAAAGTATGTATACTAAGTATTGTGTAAACATTTTGTTACCCAGAACTGGGTTTGCCTCTTGGTAATGTCAAGCCAAAATACACAGCCATGCCAAAGAATAGGAAAAGGAAAGGTTTTACTTGGAACAAGTAAAGGAGCACACCAGGGATCTTTCCCAAAGCAGTGTCTCCCTGAATAACAAAATCGGGGCAGTTTTATGCTGGGGTTTCATACATATTCATGACAAGGCTTGTGCAGTAGGGAATACATCATGGAACTGGGGCAGTAGTCATCTTGAGGTGAATGAGTCCAGGTCAGAGTTACAAGGGCCAGCAAGGGGTCAGCATCATCAATTCTCTCGCTCCAGTTGGTCCAGTATCTGAGTGCTCAAAGGAGTTGAGATCCTTCAAAAATAAGTCAGGTCAGTCTTCACTTTTGAACTAACACTGGGAGTTTTGCCACTGACTTATCGTCCCTGATATGATTAGGCTATCTCCTGGCCTGATAGTGGCTGTTCTTAAATTCTTTCACAAGATGGCCAGGAAGCCTTACGTAAAGAAAGCTTTGTCTGTCTTTTTCCAGGGACCCCTACTTCCTTCTGTTTACAATTTTACATTAAATAATTATATAAATAAAGTAAAATAGAGAAAAGTCAAAGAATAAAATAGAGGAAAAAATCGCTTGCCACTTTGACCTTACATTTTAGTTCGCAGTGGTCTTTGTTCCCATTTCTTGGCCAGGAGCTCCTAAAACCCTTGGAATTTCCTGTGTGGTATAGTGTCTTACTATTCGTAAGGTAACCCTTTGGATCACTCCTGGATTTATGCTAATGAGGTGATTTAGGCTAGGGTCTTTATTAAATTTTTTTTTTCAATGTTTATTTATTTTTGGGACAGAGAGAGACAGAGCATGAACGGGGGAGGGGCAGAGAGAGAGGGAGACACAGAATCGGAAACAGGCTCCAGGCTCTGAGCCATCAGCCCAGAGCCCGACGCGGGGCTCAAACTCACGGACCGCGAGATCGTGACCTGGCTGAAGTCGGACGCTTAACCGACTGCGCCACCCAGGCGCCCCTAGGCTAGGGTCTTTAAATAGCCTCAGGGCTGGGCTGGCCACTTGAAAGACCTAGTAATTAGTAGAAGGTGGGAACTCTTAGCCCCACCCCCCTAGCTTCTGGGAGGGGAGGGCTGGGGATTGATCTCTATAAAAGCTCTTGAACAGTGAGATGGAGTGCAGAGATTCACCCTGAAGAGTAATCCACTCCACATCTTTTGCTTGGGACCCTTCTGGCTGTACCCTTGTGTACTTAATCAACTGGCTGTTCATTTCTCTTTCATAATGGACCAGTAAATGTGAAGTATGTTTCTTAGTTCTGTGAGCTATTTTAGCAGATTATCAAACCTGAGGAGGGGGTGTGGGAAACCCTGATTTATAGCTGGGAGATCAGAAGTATGAATGGCCTGGGACTTGTGACTGGTATCTGAAATGGGACCAGTCTTGTGGGGCTGAGCCTTTAACTTTGGGGGTCTACACTAACACTGGGTAAGTAGTTTCAGAACTGAATTGTTGGACACCCAGCTGGTGTCATATGCCATATAGGCATATCTCATTTTATTGTGCTTTAACTTAACATACTTCGCAAACACTGTATTTTTTATAAATTAAGGTTTGTGACAGCACTGCATCAAGGAAGTCTTTTGGTGCCATTTTTCCAACAGCATTTGCTCGCTTCATGTCTGTGTCACATTTTGGTAATTCTCACAATACTTTAAACTTTTTCATTATATTTGTTATGGTGATCCATGATTAGTAATCTTTGATGTTAATGCCGTAATGGTTTTGGGATATCACAAATCCTACCCATATAAGACACTGAGCTTAATCAATAACTGTTGTGTGTGTTCTGATTACTCCACCAATGGGACCTTCCCATTTCTCTCTCCTTGGGCGTCCCCATTCCCTGAGACACAACAATATTGAAATTAGGACAATTAATAACCCTATAATGGCATCTTAGTGTTCAAGTGAAAGGAAAAGTCACATATCTTTCACTTTCAATCAAAATCTAGACATGATTAAGCTTGGTAAGGAAAGCATGTTGAAAGCCAAGATAGCCTAAAAGATAAGCCTTTTGCATCAGTTTGCCAAGTTGTGCAAGCAAAATAAAGTTGAGTGCTATTCAAGTGAACACACAAATGAGAAAAAACCCAAACAGCCCATTGCTGAAAGTTTCAGTGGTCTAGATACAAAATCAAACCAACCACAAGACTCCCCCTTCAGTCAAAGCCTAATCCAGAGTAAGGCCCTAAATGTACTTATTTGTATGAAGGCTGAAACAGGTGAGGAAGCTGCAGAAGAAAAGTCTGAACCTAGCAGAGGTTGGTTCATGAGGTTTAAGAAGCCATTTTTGTTAACACGAAAGTGCAGAGTGAAGCAGCAAACACTGAATAAAAGCTCCAGAAAATCTAAATAAGACAGATACCTAATGAAGGTGGCTACACTAAATAGATTTTAAACGTACAGGAAACAGCCTTCTATTCTAAGATGCCATTTAGGACTTTCACAGCTGGGGGGAAGTCAACACCTGGGTTCAAAGCTTTGAAGGACAGGCTGACTCTCTTGTTAGGAACTAATGTAGCGGACTTTAAGTTGAAGCCTGTGCCTACTTAACATTCTGAAAATCCTAGGCCCTTAAGAATAGTGCTAAACTCATGCTGCCTGGGATCTATGAATGGAAGGAAGCCTGTTTGACAGTACATCTATTTACAGTAGGGTTTACTGAATACTCTAAGTCCCCTGTTAAGAGACCTACTGTTCATAAAACATGATTCCTTTAAAAATATTACTGCTCAGGTAATGTACTTGGTGACCCAAGAGCTCTGCTGGAAGTATACCATTTAGATTAATGCTGCTTTCATGTCTGCTAATACAACATCCATTCTGTGGCCCATGGGTCAGGAACAATTTGGGACTTTCAAGTCTTATTATTTAAGAAATGCATTTTGTGAAGACTATATAGCTTATAGATCATGACTCCTCTTACAGACCTGGGCAAAGTAAACTGAAAACCTTCACCATTTTAGATGCCACTCAGAACATTTTCATAGGAAGAGGTCAAAATATCAACATTAACCGGAGTTTGGAAGAAACTGATTCCAAGCTTCATGGCTGACTTTGAGGGGTATAAGACTTCACCGGAGGAAGTGTAGATGTGGTGGAAATAACAAGAGAACTAGAAGTGGACCCTGAAGATGGCAGTGAAGGGCTGCAATCTCATGATCAAACTGACATAAATGAGCTGCTTCTTATGCATGACCAAAGAAAGTGGTTTCTTGAGATGGAAATCTATACCTGGTGAAGATGCTATGAAGATACACTCAGCTGATAAAGCAGCAGCAGGGTTTGAGAGGATTCAGTCCAATATTGAAAGACGTTCTAAGTGGGTCAAATGCTATCAAATAGTATCATGTTACAGAAAAATCATTCATGAAAGAGTCCATCGATATAGCAAATATTACTTGTGTCTCATTTTAAGATTTGCCACAGCCATCTCCACCTTCAGCAGCCACTACTGTGATTAGTCAGCAGCAATCAACAGTGAAGCAAGACCCTCCAGCCAGCAAAAAGATTATGACTCATCGAAAGCACAGATGATGGTTAGCATTATTTAACAATAAAGTATTTTTAATTAAGGTATTACACTGCTTTTAGACATAATACTATTATTGCACAACTAATAGGTTATAGTGTAAACGTAACTTTTATGAAATCTTGCCATTTGCAACTACATGGATGGAACTGGAAGGTATTATGCTAAGTGAAATTAGTCTGAGAAAGACAAATATATGACTTCACTCACATGAGGATTTCAAGAGACAAAACACATGAACATAACGGAAGGGAAACAAAAATAATATAAAAACAGGGAGGGGGACAAAACATAAGAAACTCATAAATATAGAGAACAAACAGAGGGTTATTGGAGGGAGTGTGGGAGGGGGGATGGGCTAAATGGGTAAGGGGCACTAAAGAATCTATTCCTGAAATCACTGTTGCACTATATGCTAACTAATTTGGATGTAAATTTTAAAAAATTTAAATTAAAAAAATAAATAACTTTTACATGCACTGGGAAACCCAAAAATTCATTTGACTTGTGTTATTGTGGTACTCCGTTTACTGTGATAGTATTGAACCAAACCCTCAGTATCTTCAATCTCATTTAATCCTTTAATAGATATAAACACTATTATTATACTTCCTATTTAACTGATAAAGACATCCAGAATGTAGATAGGTTCAGTGGCATGTTCAAGTCACTCAGCAAGTATATGAGCAAATACTCTAACCAAGATAATTTGACTCTAGATTCTTGTTAGACTCTTTATCCCATAGTTACTGATACAGAAATGAATTAATAGTATGTTAAATGAAAAAAACTGTTAAATGTAAAACTACATCTTGGGATGCCTCGGTGGCTCAGTCGGTTGAGCATCCAACTCTTGATCCTGGCTCAGGTCATGATCCCAGGGTCATGCCACTCAGCCCTGTGTCAGGCTCTGTGCTGAGCGTGGAACCTGCTTAAGATTCTCTCTCTCTCTCTCTCTCTCTCTCTCTCTCTCTCAGCCCCTGTTTCTCGCTCACACACTCTAAAGTAAAAAAAGTTAAAAAATTAAAAAACTACAACATACTTTTTTTTTTTTAATTTTTTTTTTCAACGTTTTTATTTATTTTTGGGACAGAGAGAGACAGAGCATGAACGGGGGAGGGGCAGAGAGAGAGGGAGACACAGAATCGGAAACAGGCTCCAGGCTCTGAGCCATCAGCCCAGAGCCTGACGCGGGGCTCGAACTCACTGACCGCGAGATCGTGACCTGGCTGAAGTCGGACGCTTAACCGACTGCGCCACCCAGGCGCCCCTAAAAAAACTACAACATACTTTTTAAAAAGCATGCATACACACGTATTTGTGTAGAGGCAAAAAGTACGAAAGAATGTATTCTAAAATATGTCTTTGCACAATGAGATTATGAAGGTTTTTAATTTTCTTATTTGTATTTTTCTTTTTGGCATTTTTGGCAATGAGCATGTATCCTTTTCAGGGTAGAAACAATAAGCTCTTTTAAAGCTACAGGAATCATGGGGCGCCTAGGTGGCTCAGTCAGTTAAGCATACAACTTCAGCTCAGGTCACGATCTCATGGTTCACCGGTTCAGGTTTGAGCCCCACATCTGAGAGCTCAGAGCCTGGAGCCTGCTTCAGAGTCTGTGTCTCCCTCTCTCTCTCTCTGCCCCTCCCCCACTCATGCTCTGTGCCTCTCTCAAAAGTAAACATTTAAAAAAACCTACAGGAATCAATTTTTTATATTTTTATTTTAGAGAAAGAGAGCGTAAGCAGGGGACAGGAGCAGAGGAGGAGGAAGGGGGAGGGAGGAAGGCGAGGGGGGGAGGGAGAGAGAGAGAGAGAGAGAGAGAGAATCCCAAGCAGGCCCCACGCTCAGTGCAGAGCCAGACACAGGGCTCGATCCCAAAACCCTGCTATCATGACCTGAGATGAAATTAAAAGTCAGATGCTCAACGGAATGAGCCACCCAGACACCCCTGAAAGGCTTCTTTCTAATTAGTTATATCTCTTATTCAAAAAAGGATTTAAGGGACGCCTGGGTGGTGCAGTCGGTTAAGCGTCCGACTTCAGCCAGGTCACGATCTCGCGGTCCGTGAGTTCGAGCCCCGCGTCAGGCTCTGGGCTGATGGCTCGGAGCCTGGAGCCTGTTTCCGATTCTGTGTCTCCCTCTCTCTCTGCCCCTCCCCCGTTCATGCTCTGTCTCTCTCTGTCCCAAAAATAAATAAAAAAACGTTGAAAAAAATTTAAAAAATAAAAAAAAACAAAAAAGGATTTAAATTGCTAAAAAATGGTTTGATCTCAATGAAAAAGTTCACCTTCCATGTCTTTCCTGGCTTCACAGCTTATATTCAAGTGTATTCAATGATTAAGCAACCAGGAATTAGAAATATGTGTACTATCCTTCTTCAGAGCATAAAACACATATATGAGCCCAATTAAGCCTGCGTGCAGTACACAAAATGCCTTCACCATCTCTACCAACATCACGTACCACTAACTCTCCATCCAGCTGATGATAAACTCTCCTAAAATTCGGTCTTCTTGATATAAACTTCTTGAACTTCAGCTTTAAAAGGTTTAATACTGCATTCAACAGCCAAGTCAGACTTGTTTTTCAAACAACTGGTAGGACCCCTCCAGGGCTGAAAGCTATCAGCTGAAGAGAGGAAGGGGAGGGACAAAAGCAAGCAAGGAATGGGTTTTGTTTTATAGAACCCACACTTCAGCCAAGGAGACTAGCTGTTTCACGTGAGAGCCCCTTGCTGGGTGTGTCTCACCTGACAGCCACCCTATGTGAGCCAGTATGAGCTGGCTTTTTAAAAAAAAAAAAAATTTTTTTTTAAATGTTTATGTATTTATTTATTTTTTCCAACGTTTATTGATTTTTGGGACAGAGAGAGACAGAGCATGAACAGGGGAGGGGCAGAGAGAGAGAGGGAGACACAGAATCGGAAACAGGCTCCAGGCTCTGAGCCATCAGCCCAGAGCCCGACGCGGGGCTCGAACTCACGGACCGCGAGATCGTGACCTGGCTGAAGTCGGACGCTTAACCGACTGCGCCACCCAGGCGCCCCAATGTTTATTTATTTTTGAGAGAGAGACAGAGCACGAGTGGGGGAGGAGCAGAGAGCAGGAGACACAGAATCCGAAACAGGCTCCAGGCTCTGAGCTGTCAACACAGAGCCCGACACGGGGCTCGAACTTAAAAACCGTGAGATCGTGACCTGAGCCGAAGCCAGACGCTCAACCACCTGGGCCACCCAGGCGCCCCTCACCATTTTTTTTTTTTTTTTTGAAAATACAACGTATGCACTAGCATGTTGACATGCTAGGAATGAGTAACTGAACTGAAGTGCTTATGCGAGCTCCCTGCCCCGCCCCCTAATACACTGAATAAAACCTTCCTGTACTAACCCCACAGAGAGACAGGGCTTTGAGAGTCATCTGTTTCCTTACTTGTAACAAGTAATAAAGTTCTTTGTTTTCAACATTTTCTCGGGTTGTGTCCAATCTGATGTATCTCAAGTGGTGAACCCCTTGAGTTTGATCACACAGCTCGGCAAATAACATTTTCACCCATCCAGCTGACCAGAACAGAAACACTTCTTTCCATCATCCCTCATTAAATTCTGCTCTTTGTTCAAAACAAACAAACTCATCCTCTTCTTTCCATAACCACTGCCACCACATTAGTGGTGCATTATCCCTCTCCTGGGTTACTGCAATAGCATCCTTAACTGAAAACACTTCTGATCAGGTTATCCTATGCTTACACTTCAAATGAAATCCAAAGTCCCTTATAATTTCCTGTATGATCTGCCTCAAGGCTTCACCCTAACCTTAATTCTGTAATTATGCCCTTTAATCACTACATTGTAGCCACACTGACATTATTTTTGTTCCTCCAATCAGCTAAACTCTTCCCAATCTCAGGACCTCCAGATACCCTTGCATATACCTGGGATACTGGTTCACTTCTATTAACTCTTCACTTGACTAACTCCTATTCAACTTTTCTTCATATCACTATAAAGATTCCACATTTGCTTTGTCCACCTGGCCCACTACTGATGTCCAATAAATAACTAATCACTTCATTTTCGATTATCCAGCCAGTACTAGCAAAACAAAAACAAAAACCAAAAAACAAAAAAAAACAAGGGTGGGGGTTACAAAAGGAACGTAATTATATGCTGAAACTAAAGAGTGTTAAAAAATTATTTTTAAATCTGAATGTGTTCAAAAACTATTAGCAAAACTGAGTCACCCCACCCCCGCCCCAGCAAGAAACTATCAGAATGTTGCCATCAAAAAAGATTTTTAAATGAAACAAGGACAAGACACCGTCACAAGTGATTACTCCCAAAAGAAGACAATTAAAAACCCTAGGAATGACTCTTTTCTGCCCTTTTGCTTGATGAAAAAATGGGAGAATATGAATAAAAATAGTAACTGCAAGCAGTCAATAGCTTTAAAATATGTGTTTATTAGTCATTTCTGGCCAAAAAAAAAGAAAGCACTCGTAGTATTCAAATAATTATAACATGTTTGGGTTAAATTCCATTTAAAAAGGAAAGAAAGAGTTGGGTATCAGGGTTGTGAACAGTAAAATCACTGGAGAGGTGATCAGATGGAAAGAAACATTATCTGCTTTCATCATATCTAAGGCAAAGGCGTTTCCCCCAGTCTCACTCTGCTCCCCCCACCCCAGAATGTCCGGCACTGAACAATGCCTAATGGATTCTCTAGTAAAAATTCCACGCTATCAACTCGATAAACCAAAGTCCTCATCATCTCATGCCTCTGCTTCAACGTCAGCCTTTTACTCTCAGCGTGATCGCTGATCCCTTCTCAAGACTAGGACTTGCTTTGCGCTGATCGCCCCCCTCCTACGATCCCAAACGCGAAATCGCTTCCACGAAACGCAAACGGCAGAGCCGCGGGCAGGAGAGAAAAAAAAAGGACCGGATGCCAGACTCACCTGGGGCTGCACCGTACTCGAGAGGGAAAACATCTCCTCTGGGCCCTCAGCGACCTCACCCGCCTGCCGAAAGTGCCCCTCTGTCCACGGCTCGGCGGGGAGGCGCTGAGCCCTTTCTTCCCTTTCTTTTTCCCTCTCCCCTAGCCCTCAATCTTCCTAGAAACAGAAAATGGCCTCCCCTTGTTACAGCTGCTGCAACGACATACAATCTACCCCGGAAGGCAAGCCTCCGACGCAACACTACTTCCGGGACAGGTGAGCTGCATCACCCGCGGGTGAACCCAGCTCTAGAGCTCCACCTTTCTGGGTCTGACGTTTGTATCTACTACGGTAGCTGAGCAACCCTGGCCCCCAGGCTTGATGTTCACGGGAATAATACAGGTGCTGGATCCCCAAGCTCTCTGGCGCCGATATACACACACACACACACACACACATATACATATATATATACATATATATATATATATGTATATATATATGTATATATCTCCCCCTTAAGAGGGGATGGCATTGACCCTGTTAAATCTTTTTGCATCTTCCTTACGAAATCTTCCAACATAGTCTCCTTTTCCGACTGGGCCTTGAGTTATGATAAACTCTTTCGCTACAGTTTAGTGCTTTTTATCTTCCCCACAATAAATCGAAAATTGTTCCTATTGGTCCTCATCTGCTTCAGTCAGGCAAATTACATCCTGTTAACATTGTCAGATGACAGGGCCAGCCACCTGCTTCCTGCTCATCCAGTTTCTCCACATTGTATGATTTCGGGGAGCTAAACCAAACTGGCTTACATTTCGCCCAGGGGTGCGAGGTCGCGAGGGGTAAAAAACAAAAAAACCAAGCAAAAGTGGGGTGAGGGCGGGTCCCATCAACCTCGTTTGGAGGTCAGGAGAAACCTAGTCAATCCCGAGATTTCTTGTAAGCAAAAGACAGTCAGTGCCTCCCCAGTTATTACTAAATGAGGTAATTGGGCCGCGGTCACCGCCCTCGAAGAGTGTGTGCTTGGCTGGAGAATTTCCCAGCGTCCCAGCCCTCAGCTCCATTGGGTACTTCCGCGCTTACGAGCAAGAGGTGACAGGGGCGGGGCTGCACTGGGCTCGGCGCGAGCACGGCAACGCGGTGACGTCACTGCCTGCGCATTGCGTGGGCGGGGTCTTACTTTGAACCTAGTTGGCGGGAGTTGTGGCTTGGGAAGGGGCCTTAGCTGATGCTACAGGCTTCCTTCTGGGCTGGCCTGCTATGGAGCGCACTGCGGGGAGCGAGAAGGAGAGTGGAGGAGACGCAGTGACAGTGGAGTGCGTGAAAAGGATCCCGGTGCCAAGACCTCCTTCCATTGAGGAATTTACCATAGTGAAACCTATTAGCCGTGGCGCCTTCGGGAAGGTGTATCTCGGGCAGAAAGGCGGCAAGTTGTATGCGGTGAAGGTAAGAAGGCGGGGAGTAAAAAGAGGGAAAGAGTTCGGACCTTCGGCCCTCTTTTCTGCCCCCTGAACTGGGCAGGCTCCAGGGCGGTAGGGGCCTCCACAGCCCTATGACTTCTTACTTGGTATGACCTGAGCGCAGGCAGGCCGAGTGGCTCGCCTCTGCCACGCCCTTTTCACACCAACAATGCTTAGGAGACATCAGGATTTCTGAGTCCTTTTTACCGCCTTGACCTTTACCAGAATTAAGTTTGAAACATTAAATGTGAAACAACTATTTAAAGACTAAACTGAAACATGTTAGAACATACCACTCCTTTATCCTTGCAGCAGTACATATCATTCCAAAAGCATTCAAGAGCTTTCAATGTATTTGAAGCTTTCCTGGCCACTCTTGGTCCTCACTCCCCACTCCCATAATTTCGGATTACTCGCATTTAAGCACTGAATGAACATGGTAAAGAAACCAGCAGTTTTACCGCTAATGCAGTTTCAACTTCCTGTTGGACGTTGCTATGTGAATATCTACCAAGTGCCTTGAAATTGTACTTTCCTGACTTTGAACAATCCTCTCCACCTAACTGCTTAAACACTGAACTTTCTGTACTCTCTCTCTCCGCTTAATAAAACCACCTTCATCCCTGTCATTCAGGCTAGAAACGTGAGTCATTTTAATTTCCCTCTACTCCATCTGTATAACCTATGTCTCAACTAGTCCTGTCAATTTTGTCTCATATTCCTTCTCTTTTTTAAAAAATTTTAAAGTTTATTTATTCGTTTCAAGAGAGAGTGTGCAGGGGAGGGACAGAGAGAGAATCCCAAGAAGGCTTCGTACTGCCAGTGTGAGCCTGATGAGGGGCTCGGACTCACGGAATGTGAGAGCGTGACTTGAGATAAAACCAAGAGTCAGAAGCTCAACCGACTGAGCCACCCAGGCACCCCGTCTGGTATTCCTTCTTATTATCTCTTCCATTCTATTACGTTCCCAAGTCTGCCCAAGCACAGGACTTCACTTTTTCTTTTTCTTTTGTCTTTTCTTCCTCCCTCCCTGTCTCCCTTCTTTCTTTTTTAAAGTACAAGTCAGTTTTTAGTAAATTAAAAATTGGGTAACTATTACCACAATCCAATTTTAGAACATTTCCATCACCCCAAAAAGACTTCCTGCCCATTTGCAGTACCTCCCCCTTAACACCCTTAGCCCCAGGTAACCACCAATCTATTTTCTGTCTCTGCAGGTTTGCCCTTTCTCCACATTGCATGTAAATGGAATCATACAATGCATGGTCTTTTGCATCTGTTTTGTTTTTTGTGTGTTTTTTGTTTTATTTTGTTTTGTTTTGTTTTTTTACCTGACAGTGTTTTTGAGATTCATCAGGCCTTCATTTCCAGGAATAGGCCCCTAACTGGAATCGCTATTTTTTCATCCATTCCTTAGGCTGTGACATGCAACCTAACAAACTCCTTAGAAAAGCAATCATGGTCCAAGTCCAGGCCCTAAACATCAACTGTAACTTCCACAAATCCTATGTTCTAGCCACTCCAGATAATTGACTAGTCCATGAATGCTGTGTAGTGCTGTGCTTCTGAACTTTACGTTTGTGCTGGTTCCTCCTTAAGTGCTTTTCTTCCACCCTTCTCTGCTCATCTCCACCTGTGTTATTTATGTATTAAGGTTCATCTTAGCCCCTCTTCAAACCTTCCCTGACCTCTCAGACACACCCCATTGAATTTAATTCTTCCTTGCTTCATATGTTGCTGATATGACTTCTGCTGAACTTGCTGATCAGTCATTATCACTTATTAAAATGAAAACATCAATTCATGTTTTCGATATTTGTTGAGTGTCCCCTTTGTGTGTAGGATCTAGGGTACAGTGGTAAACAAAACAAACATGCCCTCACAGAGCTTCCAATCTAGTGGAGTCATAGGTGAAATCATGTTACAGACTGGCTTTGCCAATTTCCTTGTTTTCTTATGGAAAGGTTATAAGGCTGGAATTTATAGTGTATTAATAATTTTGTTAAATATTCTAATGAATCTTTGGAAGAAATATGACTTTTAATCATCCTGAGAATTGATCTCAGTGTTGCTGACTATTCAGGTTAGTGCTCCAATTTTAATGTAGATTATATCATAGTTTTGCTTCCACACCAATTACCTTGAAACTTGAAACTTGTTATTTTCTGTAAGACAAGATTTGAGACTATTAACTTTCAGTAGTTCTAACCATTCTTAAGATTTTTTTTTCCTAGGCAAACAAACTTCCTATGTTCTTCCTCTTTCTATTTCCCATCCATCAAAGAATCAGAAGTTAAAAAAATTTACTAGCTGCTAATTCTCTGTGCGTAGGTTCCTGATTATGGGGGCTTATTAGGAGGAAGATCACTATCCTTTGACTTTGTTAAAAGAACAGTAGAATGGAACTTTTTTTCTACTAATATGCAGGGCACTAAGGGAACATTTGTTTACTTCTTTTTCCTTCTCAAAAAGGATGTGATACTTTTGCCACTTGACGCCAAAATAAGCAGTTCTCTTGAAAAAAGATTTGATTTGTTTTCACCATATTTGCTGTTTTTCTGACAGTTTCCTGATGGCAATGTGGAGTACAAATGACATCTTTGTTTTCTCTTCATCTTTTTCTTTCATCTGGTTGTTTTCACAAAAGGCAACTCTGAAACTTGAGAACACTTTGTAATAAAAAATTAAAATGAGGGGCGCCTGGGTGGCGCAGTCGGTTAAGCGTCCGACTTCAGCCAGGTCACGATCTCGCGGTCTGTGAGTTCGAGCCCCGCGTCGGGCTCTGGGCTGATGGCTCAGAGCCTGGAGCCTGTTTCCGATTCTGTGTCTCCCTCTCTCTCTGCCCCTCGCCTGTTCATGCTCTGTCTCTCTCTGTCCCAAAAATAAATAAATGTTGAAAAAAAAATTTTTTAAATAAATAAATAAATAAATAAATAAAAAATAAAATGAATGTGTTATCATGTTGTCTTCCATAGGTTGTCAAAAAAGCAGATATGATCAACAAAAATATGACACATCAGGTGCAAGCCGAGAGGGACGCACTAGCACTAAGCAAAAGTCCTTTCATTGTCCATTTGTACTATTCGCTACAGTCAGCAAATAATGTCTACTTGGTGAGTAATTTTCCATTTTTTTCTTCATTTAGCTATCACTGAATTCAGTGACTCAAGAAGAATACAGTCTCTGAGTTTATTTTTTTATTTTTAATTTTTTTTTTAATTTTTTAACCTTTATTTATTTTTGAGACAGAGAGAGAGCATGAACAGGGGAGGGGCAGAGAGAGAGGGAGACACAGAATCGGAAGCAGGCATCCAGGCTCTGAGCCATCAGCCCAGAGCCCGACGTGGGGCTCGAACTCACGGACCGCGAGATTGTGACCTGGGCTGAAGTCGGCCACTTAACCGACTGAGCCACCCAGGCGCCCCCAGCCTCTGAGTTTAGAGCACTTGCACTTGAATTCCAACTTTTGCACTTTCTAGCTTTATGACTTGACCAAGTACCCTTACCTGTTGTTTGAACCAGGGTTCACCAGAGAAAAAAGAATAAAAAAGAATAGGGTGTATGTGGTGTGTGTAGAGGGTGGGGATTTAAGGAATTGTTCTTTGTGATTGTTGGGGCTTTCAAGTTTGAAATCTGCTGGGTAGGCCAGCAGGCTGTAGACCTGAAGAGTTGGTGTTACAACGCAGATCCAAAAAGCAGTGTAGAAGCATAATTCCTTTTTCTTGGGGTGGGTAGGGTAGAGTTGGGAGGCATGGAGGACAGGCTTTTTTCTTTTA